ATGTCGAGATCAGAAATTGTCCTGTGCTTTTGTGACTCGGTTGTTGTGCTCTACTTGTTGTTTGTTGAGGTTACTTGTCACACTACTGTTTCGCCGGGCTAAAGCTACCAGACGGAAAAGAGCTCCACATTAAGTTCCAAACACTAACTTCTGTTGCCGGCACTTGAAGCTCCGTAAAGACTGCTGGCCGCTGGCCTTAAGCTGCTCTGACCGCCTCATTTGCCTCGTACACTAAAGCTAAAATGCATGGAAAGCTCACAATTCATCATCTTCAACCCAAAGAGTTGTGGTTGCCCTTAACCCTAAACCCTAAACCTAATCTCCACAGTCTGATACTTGCTGATGTTCGACGCACACACACACACATACACACGCATCGATGCCTTTTCTGAGCACAGCAGATCCATTGAATCCTCCCGCCCGCATAAAGCCACAAAATTGCCTACACAGCCGTGATAGAACCCGAAAGCTGATCCCTGCAACCCTAAACCCTAAACCCTAAACCCTTAACCCTAAACCCTTAACCCTAAACCCTAAACCCCCTAAACCCGTAAACCCAGATTGGTCGGTGCCGAGCTGCGACCAGCTCGCCGAGCGCAAGCGCGGCGTGAGCAAAACAGCCAGGCCAGAGCTCTGGGCTCTGGGCTTAGGGTTTAGGGTTTAGGATTTAGGGTTCAGGGTTTAGGATTTAGGGTTTAGGGTTCAGGGTTTAGGGTTTATAGCTGTTCTTTTGGGAGGGTTCTGCAAGGGACACCGTAAGGGTTATTCAGGGCTCAGGGGACGGATAGCGGTTTTATAAGGGTCCAGGGGTTATTCAGGCTTCGGGGCGTTGGGTTAGAGACTTCGAGTTTGAGTCTGAGGATGTCGAGTTGGCTGCAAAGGTTCCTTATTAGTAGAGTAGGCAAGCTCTTTCAATTTTTTGGGTACTATAATCCCAATATGCTGTACAAATAGTCCCCAAGGTTAACCTTTAGTTCCGGCAGCAAGTGGTTCACACAGGCTAGGGCAACCCCTTCGAGTCTTCACTATGCGGCCTACAGTTTTAGCTCGTGTTGAAGGTTTTCAAGTCATACTGCGTATCTGTTGACAACATTACCGACTTCAACAGTTTTGACATACTGGGCCTTGCATGGGCAGCGCTCTCAACCGCCCCAAGAGTCTTCGCGTGGCAGGTGTGGCGGCAAACCCTGCGAAGGAATTCTAGCAGCCTGGCTGGTGTTTGACGTATCCTGGAGCCCAAACCATAAACCGTGAACCTTCCAGAGAGCCCAATACCCCTTAATTAAGGAATATAGCTTAAATCATAATATGAAGCCCTATATAATTTAAGCCATATTCCTTATATTGGGCTTTCTGGGCCTAGCATCACTCCATCCAACCCAACGCCAAATCCTAGAACCTCTGTAGATTCAGCTCCTAGGGCTCAGAGCTTCTAAACCCTGGAATTCCTGGGTAGGCCTATAATGCCGCAAGGTCGGAGAAATACTGGGCCGAAGGGACGGATCCGGTTCGGGCGGAGTGTACTCTAGGGGCCTTAACGATTAGAGTAGGGTTTTAGGCCCGATTATACTAGAATGATAGCAAGGAGCCCGCCAAATAGTGTAGGTATAAGGCTCCTACAAGTACGCCGCGTTCACGGTTTCAGGGCCAGTGAAGTTCCTAAAGCCTATGTTAGACAGTACCGCCCCCATATTACGTTCCTACACCCTACACGCAGCCCTCAAGACTCTCAGTGTCCTGAAGGCCTCAGCACTATCCCTGAAACTGTATAGTCTTCATCCGAAAACCCGTTAAACTCTGAACTTTAACCCCCTCTTAACCCCTTGGTCCCTCATGGTAAGGGCTTAGGGATTGCTACCCATCAAATGTTGCAACTTTTTGAATCCCTACCAAGTCTAAAGCAATACTCCACATATGAATACCTTAGACAAGACCTCCCCAAACGCCCTTCACCCCCGGAGCAAAAACCAAACCAAGCCTCGCGGCTAAGCCCAGGTCGAGACCAAGCACGCCTTCCACGAGTGCGCTGGCGAACCTATCGACTGCATCCTCCTCAAGAATCATGTTTGGTGTTTTTGAATAGGCTGTATATTTTTAGTTATTTAATAGGGTCCCTGTTGTGTGCCATAGGGACTTTGTAGAATTGGGAAGTTCTCAGGTTGTTCTTCTGCGTACTAAGGTTTAGGGTTGTAGGTTTCGGGAAGGGTTTCATAGGGTTATAGCAGCGGACTTTGCAAAAGACTCATGGTGCTTTACTAAATGTTTTACAGAGGATGTTCGAGGATGCTAATTCCCATTGACTCTTTGTGGGTCTAAGAAGGGTCTCGCAAGACAGGTTTAGAAGGATGTTTTATCGACGTTTGAGAAAGGTCTTACGGGGCTCTAATTGGGGGTCCAGCACAGTGTTTGGAAGGGTTCGTAGTAGAACTCGAGTCTCTAGGACTGAGGGCTGAGGGTTGTAGGGTTTTGGACTTAATTAAAGGGTTTTAGGAGCAGAGAGGCCCCTGAAGCCGAGAGAATCAAGCGTCTTTGGCAGAGCCTACATGGCAGCATGCGAGGGGGGGTGGGGAAGAATGCGGGTTCGAGGGCCCAAGCTACCTGACTCGTCGATGTTCCAAGAACACTGGGGGGCCACCGACCTCGGCCGAGGAAGGCGCGCGAAGCAGCGACCTGGTGGCACGAACAGCTGCACAGCAGGTGCTTGCCGAAGAGGAGCACCGGAATTACGCACATGAGTTCTGCCATCAGCGCACGGGCGCCCTGCGATGGGAAAGTCCCAAACCCTATAGGCCTTCGTACAACTCCACAGCGCCGCGCATACAACCTCCCCATACAAAACACTCAAATCTACGCAAAACAGAACAGATGCACACAAACTTCGAACCTCCTGCTTTAAACCCCGAAATGCCCCTAAACCCCTAAACCCCAAAGAAGCCCCAAACCTTAAACCCTAAGCCCCACAATTCTTAAGGAAGAGGGGTACCTTCTTCGGCATCCCGAAAAAAACCCTGTAGCCCTACCCCCCAAAACCTTGAAGGAGCAATATAGGCGCCTAAAGATCTTACCAATACTATTTTGGTGGTTCCTTAATATAACTATAGTATAAAGGGCCCCAAAACCCCATTCTAATGATTAAAGCAAGCCCCTGCTGTATCACCTTCTTCTGTATCCCCGAAGAGAGCACCGAGGCATCCTCGGCGACTGGAGCAGCATCGGCCCTGGCGAAGCGGGTGTAGGGTACAGGGTTTAGGGAGTTTCGGGTTTAGGATTGGGGTTGAGGGTTCGGTTTGCAGGGCTTAGGAAGTTTTGGGGTTGGGGTTTAGGGTTTGGGGTTTACGGTTGCGATACAGCTCTTGGCTACTTGGGTTCAACAGGGAACTGCAACAACCTCCAGTTGTTGCGCACCTTCCTAGGGGAGTTGAGTAGAGGCTCGTCTTGTTACGGATAATCGTGTGTTTATACTGCTACTACTGCGCATGAGAATGCTGATAAAGTCATACTCCACAGTCAAGTTTGATTTGTTTAAAGTGTCTGGCCCATAGCAGTAGAGGTAAGTTGACTTTCCTGCTCAGGACTTTCATGGTGCAGAGCTGTAGGGCTTTAGGGTTTCAGGCTGAGGGTTTAGGGCTTTCGGTTTTAGGGAATATCGCTATCATCATAGTAGCGAGTAAAGAATGTTGGGATAGTCAGCACCGTCTCATTATCGTTAAGTACCTTGGCAATTGCATTCTGGTTCTGAGTGTTTTAAAATGCACTTGCATCAGTCACTGAGTTGACATTGGGGTCCTCTCTTTTCTCCACAGCGGAGCGTGTCTCTTTGGGAGGAGACTTGCTAGGCTGCTAGGGTGGTATAGTATAGGTGTTTAGGAGTTGAGGTTGAAGTTTGGGCTTTCGTGGGTTTTACTTTACCGGGGTCGACCTAGACGTTAGACCCTTCTGTTTGTGTGGAAGTTGCTGAAGAAGTCGTTTTGCGGGCCAGGGGTATTCTAGCCATTCCCGAAGCCGGAAGACAGAAAGTCCCACGGGTATTCTTCACTTCTTGGGCGATCTGTGGCGCAAGCGTAAGATGAGCTGCATAACGATTTGTGCTGTTGTTGCTGACATTATTGCATATTACAGATATCAGCAGCGTTGTTCTGCTTTGTTTCAGGGGAACCAATGCACAACCAACGGTATGTTTTACGTATGTATGCATGCATGCATGCATGCAAGCATGTGTGTGTATATATATATATATACATATCTCTCTATATATACATATATGTACGTATATATGTACCCATATGGGGCCTGAATAGTTGGCAATGGTACCCCTCAGAGCTTCGAAAATATTTCTAGTATACAGACCCCCCCGCCCCCAGAACGCCTAGCCTAATAAATGTTCAGGTGTCTGTACCACTCCGGAACCCTAAACCTCGCAAGGTTTACGAGGAAGCCGGAAGGTTCAAGGGTTTTGCTTTGGGGTTAGGTTCTGGGCTTAAGTTTCAGGGTTCCCTATTCGGGTCTGGAAGCTAACTGCATTCGAAGCGCCTAAAGCGAGAAGCCCGAAAGCCTCTCAACACTGGAATGTCTGAACTTTTTGCCCGGATTCTCCTCGAGGGGCCCAAACTCCTGTTTACACATACTTCCTTTCAGTATCGCATGACTTCATTGATGTGCACCCTCGCAATGCAGCTGCTGTGGCTTAGTGCGAAAGCTGTGTGGTAGATGTTGACTTTAAGGCCTCAATCTCGACGTCTTTCACAAAGTTTTTTGGCTGTTCGATCTGATGTTGAGCTGCTTTTCACACTTGAAGACTCCGGAAGCCTGCGCCCCTTGGCCTTACCCTCAGACACTCTGAACCGTACACCCTAACTCCCAGCCCACAACCGGACGTTTTCCAGACTGTTCGAGTTCAAGGGTCAGGGGTGAAGATTTTGGCTTCTTCCTCAGTCCCAGACCTTGGAAAGCGGCGTTTTCGTGCATGAATTCGTGTGGCCAGCGCGGCCGTCGTGACAACCATGTCGGCCGAGAATATCCATGTCGCGATCCGAGTTCGGCCCATGAACGAGAACGAGGAGCTAAGCTATGAGAAGACTGCACATCGTTCAGGGTTTGGGGTCCAACATGTGTGCTCGAACCTGAACCCCAAGTTATGATTGTTCTTCAAGCCAGAAATCCCTAAACCCCAAGCCTCAAGCCCAAGCCTTAACTTAAGACCCTCTTTTGACATTTAGGGACCGGACCTCTTGTCGCAGCCCTTCCAGAAACCTTGCCACTAATCCTCAGAGCTGAACCCTTACAGCGGCCGAAGGAGTCGCAGGGAGGTTCTGCCGTGAGCTTCCAATCCTCCGAGCAGGCGTCGCTCGTGATCAAGGCACTGCTTCGGAAGTTGGGCGACAGGGGCTGTAGGGTTCCATAAAGGGATCTATAAGGGTACTATAACGGTAGTCTCTTGTAGGGTATTTTAGGGGTTTTATAGTGTTTCCTTTCAGGGTTGCCATGGGGCCCACGGGCTCTATGAGCGGTTAAAAAAGGGTTCCAGAGGGGTTATTTGAGGGGTTCTTTGAGCTAGCGTGATTCTTTATTCTGTTTATGAAGACTGTAAGTATACCTATAGGGCTTAAACCCTAAACCCTAGAACCCTTATGATTATGGATGGCTAGGTGTACAGCTGGGAGGAGTTCCGCCTGTACTACTGGCGGTGGTACTCAGAGGAGGCATTGAGCGGTACTGGCACCGATGCCGCGGTTGCGGATTCCAGATGTCGATTTTGGGCGCCAGCCCAGGCTTGCAATGCTACTTCCACATCACGTCAGCTGGGGTACTTCCCGGGCGCCGGGGGCACCATGGTGCCTCGAGATGTGGCCATAGCAATGATCGATGAGGCCTTGGCGGTGAACCATACCCCGGGGTTAGACGACAGGTCAGATTCAGGGTGATATGGAGTAGGTGTCTCAATGATGTAGTCCTGCTGCTGTTTTTCTGTAGGCTTTCCAGTTGTTGCCAGGCACGGCCATATCGCTGCAGAGAGTCTTTGTTTCATTTTCCTCCTGCAACTAGATTCGGTGCTTGACCAACTTTCTAGTATCGTAGCAACTTCAGATTAATCCTTGAACCCTTAGCAGAACCCTTATGGCAGCACTTATGGTACTAGTAGCCCTACCAACAACCTTTACCGCAACCCTTATTGTCCCCGCGCTCATCCTGTGATCCAAGATCGAATCCGGGGTTTCTTATTATAGGTATCAGGGGTTTAGGGATTAAGGGTTTAGGGGTTTAGGGGTTTCGGGGTTTAGTGGTTTCGGGTTGAGGGGTCAGGGCTTTAGAGCTTTAGGGGTTTAGGAGTTAAGAGTTCAGGGGTTGAGGGTGTCGAGTTTATGGGTTTTGGGTTTAGGGGTTTGGGGTTTGGGGATCGCCATTTATTGAATGAAGACGGGTGGGGGCCTAGCCTTGCGCCCCGAAGCCCGGTAATCCCCAAGCCCTACGCCCACACGAATTTACAACCTGTACAGTTTTTGACAAAGCCCCCTAAATCATGTACCAAAACCCATAAGGCCCTAGAAACCTCTACAAAATCTCGTAGCACACTACAAGGCCCTGTGCAACCCGTAGAAGCCCGGAGGCTCCAATATCCCGGAATTAAGGATTATACCTATAGTAGGATCCCTAACATGATTTCAGGTATATTCCCTAAGAAAGGGATATTGGAGTCTCTTGGAAGCCCTAGGCTACTTGGAGGTTCATGGGTACTTACAAGTGGAGTTTTAAGTCCCCCAGCATGAGTCATAAATATAGTTATCCTAATTATAACCGCACTTATAACTACCCATGAACCTCCAAGTCGGGTTGAGCCCACTTAAACCCTGCACCCTATAGATCCCTTATATCATAAAACTCTACAGAAACCCAAGGTAGATCCGTTTAGAGGAACCCTGGGAGGGTTGGCGCTTCCTTGGTCCGGCAGGCGACTGACGGCCAGCTGAGGAACTTCAGGTTCGACCAATGCTCCCTGGACGAAGGGCGTTCTTGAAGGTACTCACAAGGTTTTTTTTGTATGTCTGTATGTACATGTATATATATATATGTTTTACGTTCTATGTATACATTTGTGTCATGGTCTCTCAAGATGGATACACAGGAGTTTCATAAGTGTGGACACGCTTGCTCAAGATGTAGAAGAGCGATCTACAAGGGTTTCATCAGGGTTGGACACGCTTCTGCAGCAACCCCGTACTTTGGAAACGGGTCTGTTTGGGATTGCACAGAGGGTTCGCGCTGGCTTGAGACGCTGTAAGGGCGTTATGGGTTTATGTTCGGGTGTATTGCGCTGTGCAAGGCGTTAGTGGCGTCCCACTATGGGGGACATGATGTGGGTGTTAAAACGGTTTCAAAACCACACCCACATCACAAACACACTATGACTCTATTATAGATAACCTTTTGAATTCATCGTGTATGTATGTTTGTTGGTTGTATGGATTGCTTACCGTCTCAGTGGAGCAGCGGAAAGCTCATGAAAACCCGAAATAGAGCCAAACAAAATCAACCTTAATTTTTGAATCCTAAACCCCAGCAGCATCGAAAGTGCTGAACCCCCAAACCCAAAGTCCTAAACCGCCCCTTCAGTACAGCCTTTATGAAGTCCTGATGGTAGCCCTGAACAGAGCCCGGTAGAACCGACATACATGTAGACCCCAAGCCTTCAACCTGTATACAAGTTTATCAAGCCCAAGCTGCCATTAACCCTAGAGTATGTGGAACCCCTGGTGTGCATCATTTAGCTGCATAAACGCAACAGTAGTTATTACCGACCTGAAAGTAAGTTCTTTGCATTTTTCAGGAGGACCCCTAATGTTTGTCAAACCCCCTAGTATCCTCGTATATAAACCCTAAGCCGTGAGGAAGCCTTTAGACAAGCTGACTGACAAGGTTTCACTTCTCTCGACCCACAGGACCTGTCGGGAACTCAGGCGCGGGGACGTGTTACAGCGGGTCTTAGAGTTTTAGGCTTGTTGCGTGAGGTTTAAGCTTTTTAAAGCAGTTTTGATCTTGGTGTTTTTACTTAGGCTTTTTCACTTAGGGTTGCGAGTTTGGGGTAGTTTTTTGGATGGGATGGGTACTATATGGGAGCCTTACTGTTTGTAGGGTTCTTCGAGAAGTCCAACTACATTCTATAGGGACTCCGATAGAATGCAGAGCACGGCATGTACGATGGCCTCCCACAAAGACAGGCCTGAGTAGGTCACACAAACTCAGGAAGAGGCTTGTGGCTCGGGATTTGGGTTTTTTCCTAACAAGCTCAGCGGAGCTGTAGCGCTAGGCCTAAGCCTTGCAAAGTCCTCTCGGGATTCAGGGAACTGAACCCCAAACCCTGCCGTTCAAGAATCCCAGGCTAAGGGCTTCTGATTCCGTTCCATGTAGAAGTTGGTAACCCAGCGGCTGTATGAGATCTGCACACTCAAGCCTGAAACCGAAACTGCGCGGGAGTGCAGGGGGTGAGGTATTGCTTAGATTCCAAAAATGTTGATATGGATTTTGGGTCGTGGCCCCGGCATTTACCAGGTTCATGTGTTGAAGTATTTGGCTTATGCGTTCACTTGTGTATGTGTGTGTGCGCGTATGTTTATATGTGCACATACATACGGCCCAAGCCTTGTGCCAACTTGGACCTCTGAATATCATTCCAAACCCTCAACCTCAAACCCTGAATCTCCTAATCATCTGGCACTTGTTTCTCGGTCGACAGTTTTAACCCTTAACCCTGAAGACGACACCCGACATGAACCTTAAACGACCTACCTTTTCAAGGACATCAGCGTAAGAAGCCCTAGCGGTCCAGGCTTTTCTAGGTCCAAAGCTATTTTATGTATCCATCTGTCTATCCATCTGTCTATCTATCTATCAGGAATTCTTATCATTACTTAGTACTATTAATATTAGTAATGTTAATGTTCTTTGGAGTTGTGATAGCCCATGCTGAAGCCAGGAGAAGGTCTACTCCGAGCTTGGCACCACGGCTCTCTCAGAAGCGTCACCCTGTTTAGGGCTTCGGGTTTAGGGTTTAGGGTTTAGGACTTCGGGTTTAGGATTTCAGTTCAGGGCAAACGCCTTGGGGTTCAGGGCAGCAGCTGAAACTCTTCCTTAATGCAGGCCCCTGATCAATAATCCCCTCGCCCTTGATAAGGGTTCGGTCCCAACACTCAAAGAAATGATAAATGGGGTTCAATAAACATCAGGGCCTACATGAAAAACCTCAACCCTATATAGCCCCAGTAAACCATCCCTCGTAACTGTCCTTGGCACGGGTAGTTATAACAACCCTGTGACGTGCTCTGCAAGACCCCACCAAACTTGCACAGTCCTCAAACAAGGAGGCTTATGTGATTGATAGAACCTTTTCCTCTCCCCCTTAAGCCCCAAACCGTGTTTAGAAATCTCCCTTGAAGGCTCAAGGGCTGCCCCAGGGATTCTATAATGCAGGGGCCTTGATAACTACCCATAGTGTTTTGCGGCTTCCTTTTTCCCCGCCCCTATATTAGGTGTCTGATTCTGATGTGTGGAATTCCACAGGGCTCTTTGTTGTGATGCCATGGCTTCTATAAGGATCCTTATCATGATTTCCGGGCTGTTGGAGGGCCTCGCATCCAAGGCGCGGACCTCGTGACCAGCGCCCTGGATGGCTACAACTGCTGCCTGTTTGCCTATGGCCAGACTGGTGCTGGCAAGAGCCACACCATGCAACTTGGTCTCTGTTTTGGGCAGGCATGCTACCAAGTCATTTCGAACGCTTAAGAATTTTTCCGAGAGGCCGTAAATCGTACCTCCCCATAAACCCTCAACCCCAACACTACACCCTTGTTTCGGGATTTTAAGCTCCACACATGTTGCCGCGAACCTGCGTGCAAGAATCCCTGAACCCTGCCATGCAGCATGAGTTGAGGATGGGGTACGCGGACCAGCCTGGGGTTATCCCCCGCGCCGTTGAGGCCGGGGTGCCATGTTTCAGCCTGGGGCTAGGCTGCCCTCTCGCACTGGGGGTGTTGAGTACAGCTAGTGCCCCAAAACCCTACTGTAGGAACCTGATTAAGAAACCCGGGGCCTGGAACCCCGAAGTAGTAGGGTTCACAAAAGGAGCCTTGATAAAGGCCCAAGGGTTCTTAATCAGGTTCCTACATTAGTCTGGTTTTTTAGGCTCCCATATTGGCTGAATATTGCCGTACTCGCGGTTTAGGGTTCTGGGATCGTGGGAGTTAGCACGAAAGATTTATCAGCAGGGGGGATAGGTACCCCAAAATGGGGTTGTCTGACAATTCTACCTATAACCTACTTGCTAAGTCCCGTGAACCCATGAAAACAACCCCACAGTGTTAGCCCTAAAGCCGAACCTTGTAGAATCCTCGAGGTGAGCCTTATTTGGAGTTGACTTCCTAGGCTCCCGTTGAAGTTGCCAAGTAGGAAAATCTTCTTGTTTAGAGGGTACCTGGGAACAACGTAATGTCTTGGAACTAAAGTAATGTAGAGGTCTGAACATTTGGTACTCGTGTCATTTTAACATCCCTTTCTTGTTACAGCATTACCCTAGTCAAATTTAGTGAGGCTTCTACAGTAGATGTCTTGATCTGAAAGAGCTGGCTCTTGAAGCTGCGCCCTCCCTCCGAAACCCAGATGTGCGAACTCAAGGTCTCGGCACTGCAAGCGAAGACTGCGATAGGGACCTCTCATTATATCTTTAAGCTTAGAAGAAACGCAACACCCGCGGGAGGGTTTAAGAAAGGGCTTTGGCGAGTGCACCGCCCTCCAAAAGACCCTCACCTGAAGACTCCCCGTTGGAGGATGTCTTCCGGCAGAAGCAGCTGCTTTCGGATTCCGGTGGCGACGAGCTTCGTGACGAGACTGACTCTAGGGGTTTAGGATGGCTTAGGGCTTAGAGTCAGAATTTTGGCGTGCTCTCATTTATAAGTCAAGGTCGGGCTTCGTTTCATGCCCATTCAAGCTTGGTTTCTCATGTTTTATCCTTGGGTGTAGCTGAATCGGAAACCTGTCCATGCTGCGAACTTGTCGAACATCCTGCAATACTGATACTACCTTAAACACTGAACCCGCCCAAACCCCGCGAGCCTTTAACTCTGAAAGGCCAGGGAGTTTCTGTCCAGGGGATCTCGGCAACTAGGTCGATTTGCCCCTGCGTAATGCTCAGATCTAACACACTCCTATGAACTCTTCAGCAAATGACCTCATGAGGTTTGGATAAGGCCCTTGCGAAGAAGCACTAGTATAGGGGCCTGAATAATTAGACGAATTAGGGATTAGGGGTGCATTATGCTATAATTACATTAAGGAACCCCAAAAACCCGATTCTACTCATTAAGGCCGCTACACGAAACTCCCGAAACCCGAGCCACTAAAACCTGAACCCTGAACCCTAAGCTCCAAACCCTAAACCCCAAACCCTAAACCCTAAACTCCCAAGCCCTTGAGGTGTTTGGGCCTCCTTCGTGGAAATCTACAACGAGCAGTGCCTTGCTTTATAAGGGTCTATAGGGTCCCCTTATTAAAGCTGAATATCACGAAAAGGGTACCTTCATTGTAAAGGGGCTAGTCAGGAGCCTAGTATATGGGTTCTGCATGGGTTCTATGAAACTTCTGAAAGGTCTACAGGAGTTTCTATAAAGGTTTACAAGTGCTCTACACTTCGTGGTTTCATGCTTTTGGGAATTTGGGCTTGGGTTTAGGGTTGAGAACTTGAAGGATCCTTGTGTAGAGTTCATTTGTTCATAAGGATTCAGGGTTTAGGATTTATCGGGTTTCGGATTTGGGGTTCATGAGTACCTGGAGCTCGTGCTTTTGATGTTTTGGTCTCGGATCGGGTGGAGAGTTCGCTTTGCAGACAGAGGTGCGTCGAATTCAGGATCCGCATTATGTATCCCACCGGGCGTAAGGCTGTGGGGTTAAGGGTTTAGGCTGTATCGCGTGTAGACCGGGTGTATTTGGGGTAATCGTATGTAGGCTTTAGGGTAATCAATCGCCTACATTTATTGGGCCCCAAGCATGAAGACCACCGAAGACATACCGAGCACTCAAGATGGACTTCAAAATCCCATTCCCCCAAAGCCTAGACCCTTACAGGAGCCTTGAAGACGGCTCCCTTAAGACCTCCTTGTTCCCTTGTACTATAGAGACCATACAGAGCACCCCCCCATAGAACCTTTCAAGACCCCTTACGGAGCCTTTGTAGCGACAGTGAAGCCGAGGTTGCGGGATCTCCTGGACCCAACGTCCCTCCGCACTGCGGAGGGTCATGCGAATCTCAGGCCACTTCTGGGTTCCCTTAAGGGTTAGTAGGGGTTTCAGTGTTTTGGAGGTTTCGGGTAACGAGCCAAGAGAGCTGCTGAGGCCATGGGTTGATGACGCACACAAACATACGATTGCCAGCATGGCCGGAATAGCCAGCGAGCCAGCGCGATTTTTGCATTTTGGCAGAGGCAGCATTCATGCGAGGAGTTTTACAAGGCAGGCAGCGGCAAACAACAGTGTAGCTCGAAGCCCTACATAAACTTTTCAATCCAAATCGTTGTTGGTTTAAAGGTACAGGGGTTTGGGGTTCAGCGTTGTGGGTTTGGGGCAACAGTTTGTTCGGGGTTCCGATGGTCTTTGCTACACCACCTACATCGCTACCCTACATCCCAAGCCCAGCTCAGTACAGCCTAACCTGCCAGGATCATGGATCACCCGGAGCTGGGTGCAGCATGGCTTGGGATTTTCGTGTTCGCCCTTCTAGCTCATGGCATGTTTAGGTTCCAGGTTTTTTGCTTTGACAATTTCACAGGGTGCTATGCGATATGAAGATTGTAACAGGGCTTCAGTGGGTTTGAAGGGGTTTGGCTTGAGGGGGTTTAGTCAGGGTTCAGGGCTCAGGGTGCGAACTCTTGTGACTCAGAGGATTGCAGGTGTGCGGGGATGTTTCTCGCTGGCATGCCACGCTACTATACAGATGCCGCGCTAGATTAATTTAAGAATCCGACTCACGGTTGTCTACCGGGTGAGCATCCGCCTGAACCCTAAGACGCACTCTTGGTGTAACAACAAATGGCCCAAGAAACTCTTAACAGCAGTCGCTCCACGGTTTCCGCAGTGCTTCGAATCTCAATGTTGCTACTATCATGATTACTCTTATGACCGACCAGTATTCTTGTTATCGTCGTTATTATGCCGATGATTTCTGCTAAGACAAGCGTGTAACCCATAGACTGATCGTTCAATGAGCCTTGATTCCTTTTCCATGCCTCTGCAGTGTTATAAACTCCATGCAAACCTCCCTTTGCGTTTATGATCTACCCAGGAACTGAAAGCCTAAACCATGAACACTGACAACTGATCCCTTGCAGGCAACTTCAAAGGAACCCTCCAAAATCGCTTTCCCTTATGGGGTGGTCTGGGATCCTCATCAGGTGTCCAGCTGAGTTCGGCTCACTCTTTGAAGTGAGGCCTGTAGCTTCAGACCCTATACCCTAAACTCCGCTTCGGGCTTCTGAGGCAACCCACCAGGTTTGTTCAGGTGTTGGAACTAGGTTTCGTGGTTTGGAATCCCAACAGATGCCCGAGCCTATGCCAAGCTTTGTACCTCAGAAGCCGCAAAGGCCATAATCAAAAGCATTCCCTCTTACTACAGGGGCCTTCAGAACTGGAAATTGGTTTTGGGGGCCATTAGAGTACAGTCATAATGACGTGAAAGCAGCTTGTCTTGCTGCCGAATGCGTGCACCGTGGCAATGCCTCCTCTGTCGCCTCAGGTCATCGTCCCTGGATTGGTGGAAGCTGCCTGCCAGACGGTCGTAGAGGCGGGACTGGTTGGGTTTCGGGTTTAGGGGTTCGGGGTTTGGGGTTTAGGGTTCAAAAAGTTTAGGGTTTAGGGTTTAGGGAGTGGCTAGGTTTGGGGTTTAGTATTTAGGGTTTCGTGGTCTGGGGTCAATGCTCTGGGGTTTCGGGGTTTCTCGTGGTATGCTACCGGCTGGCATGGAGATGATGCGAATGAGATGATGTCTTTTTGAAGAAGACAATACAGGGGCCTAAATAATTACCTATACTATTGTGGGGTGCCTTAGTATAGTTCTAGTCTAGAGGGCCGCGAAACCCTATTCTGATTATTAGGGCCCCTATGTTGCCGCTTGAAGACTTTGAGTCCTGAGTCTGAGACACACGAAGAGTGTGAACAAAGGGCCCCCACGAAGTTGGAGAGTAAGTCCTGCAAGGGCTGCAAGGGCATGAGAAGCTCATGAAGCCGCTCAAAGCCTGTTAGGAGGGTCGGAAGAAGGGACGCTATCGGTACGGACGCAGAGGCTGTAGGGTTTAGTTTATGGGAGTTTCGGACCCGGCCATCAACGAAAATCTTGGAGCCCCAGCACACAGACGAGAAGAAGGGATGCCTCGTTGTCAGGAGGATCCATATTGCAAACCGCAGATGCCGATAAAACCATAAATCAACCTGTCTACACGGCCGAACCGCTTGCGGAAACTAGTAGCATGATCCCCACACCCAAAAGCGCTCGTACGAACTTGTCAAGCCCTTGTTGGCAGCTTGCAACAGCCCCTACCACATGATCCTTCAAGTCATGTAGGGGCCTTAATAATTAGAATAGGATTTTGGGGGCCATTTTATTATAATTCTAGTATGGAGCTTTCAAAATATTATGAGCGATGATTAAGGCCCCCCCCATATAGCAATGCCATCAAGGTAAGGAAGCTCATCCGTTTCGGCCTGAAGAAGCGGGCACGGGCCCTGCACAACGCAGTTCCTGCATGTGAGGGCTTGAACTTTCGGCCTTCGGCTGTAGCATCGGCTTTTTCAAGCCATACTAGTTTAGGGTTTAGGGTTAAGTACATCAGCTTCTGTGCGTTGGGTTCCAGGGGCTTTAGGGCTTTGGGGTTTGAGGGCCCAGGGTTGCAGGCGAGTCAGACCCCCCGGAGAGGCTGGCTAAGCAGGCAACCATAGCCTTTTGGGATGTATCTAATCTGCCTCAATCAGTAGTTCAATTGCCCAAAGAGACCGATTCCCTTTTAATGCCGGTGCTTTTCTCTAAAGTTTTTTCATCCCTACTCCAGAGTTTGGGACTTCGTGGTTGTGGGCTTATCGTCTCGTGTCCTCAGAGCATCATCTGCGCCTTTAACCTGCGAGGTTCAGGTGACTCTTAGGTTTGTGGAGTTTTTGGGCCAGGAAGGTTCTAGGTAGGGTCGTGCCCTCGCAAAGATAGCCGAGACACTAAGCCCCATGGTCCCTTCAATTAAGCCAGGCTGAGAAGCGAAACGCCCCACAACCCCAAACGAGCCCCCAAGGGACCTCAAGAGTCCAAGCCCAAAGCCCCCAAAACGGTAGAGGCCCCGACTGCGGGAGTGACTTCGGATTTGTACCAGGAACCAACAAAGCTGGGTGGGATAACCCTATCTTGTTGGCTTACTTCAGGATGGCATGATGGTATATCCCCAACCTTATGGATGTTGTCTAGGTGCTTGTTCGGGTCCCTATTACAGTTTACTGAGCGGTTCATGGGACTTAGCAATACTAAATCGTGTTAAACTGTAGTTAGAATTACTTTCAATTCCAATGAGGGTACTTATAACCTTGCTTACTGCGTCCCATGATCCTCTGAGCAGGCCCCAAACCCTAAACCCTTCTGTAAACTCTAAAAGTACGGTTTGGTTGCGGAGCTCAGGTCACCTCCGCCACGATCATGAACAACACGTCCTCCCGCAGCCACGCGGTCTTCGTGCTTAAGGACCGGGCCCTTAGGGGGCGCTTAGGGGTTTTAGGGTTTAGGGTTTAGAGTTAGGGGAGTTCTAGAAACCAGCCTTGCCACAATCGGGTTGTATGAGGGTCTTACACGTTTTTGTTTTGTTTTGTTTTCTGCGGATTCAACTCGCGGGGATCTTTGCTCATCATTGGTGTACATTTGTCTTGGTATGGGGGAGCAAGGTTCTAGTTCGAGGTATGCGTTCCTACTTGACCCCCGATGATGTTGCACACCCCTTGGTTTTACAAATCTGAGGTAGACAGCGGGGTCTCAAACACCCTGAAGCCCGAAACCCTAACCCTGACACTCGAAACCAAAGCCGTAGAGCCTAAGCCCTAAGCCGAAACTTGGAGCCTTTAACCCTAAACCTGCATGCTTGTGAATCGTATCTGGAACGCAGGTGCAGCGAATCCTCGGGCGAAACGAGGCGCGCTTCATCCAAGCTCTGAGCCCGAAGCGAAAAGTTCCGTGAAGGCTTGCCCTGAAGGTTCGACAGTATCAGCCTTTTGAGGGGGTTAGTGGTATTGTGTGTATCTGTATGTAGATGCAGATGTAGATGTGTGTGTGTATATATAAAGGTATATATTATATAGAATAGGTGTCTATATACATAGATACACATACATAGGTGTATATACACACGGACATGCAAACAAATGGGAGTTTCAGAGAATTAGGATCCCTTATGATGTAAATCTTGCCTGTCTCTCGCCCTCTCATTCTGTCTCGTGTATGCATGTGTATATACACACACACGTTTTGATTTGTCTGATAGTTTATTTGCAACAATGTATCTGCGCATGGAAAGCATCACTTGTTTCTGCTCATCTTTTTGCGAAAACTGTTTGTGCTTGCTTTGGGGCTGTGGGGGGTGGTTTCGGGCTTTGGTTGTGGAAATCTGCAGGGATTTAGGCTGAGGTCCGGACTCACATCGAACGGCTCGAGCAAGTGCTTCGCACCACTGGGCCCAGCTGACCTATAACATGGTGGCCGTGCATCAGATCGGCTTTCCATTCCTGGGGCCCAGAGTCCTCATGAGTCACATGAACGACATCCACGCAGAGCTTTGTCATGACTTCCACGAAGAGACCTCCAAGCCTGAAGCCCTAGAGCCGTGAGTCCTTAACCCCCTATCCTTACATAGCCTTGTCCCCTGAGTCTGAGCGATATCTTAAATGAGACTAACAGAAGTAGACGATGTTTTGGATCAGATGAACAAGCACATAGATAGATCGCAAATTAGATAGATAGATCGTTCGGTAGATAGATAGGTTGATGGATAGATAGATAGATAGATAGATAGACAAATAGTTCGATAGATCAATAGTTAGATAGATCGCCAGACAGATAGATAGATAGAGAGACAGACAGAAAAATAGATAATCAGAAAGAAAGAAAGCCAGATAGTTGGATGGATAAACAGACAGGTCATTGATAAATAGATAGGTAGGTCGGTAGGTAGATGGGTAGATAGGGATGTAGGGTCGACCGACAGATAGACAGATAGATAGGTAGTAGGGTTGTCAGTCACTGCAGTAGCAGTAAGCACAAACCGAAGCAGGACTCTGCGTACTGGAGGGCACCCTCGGGGCTCGACCCTAAAACCCAACTCCCTAACCCTAAGCCACTAAAGCCTGAATCTGAAGACCCCAAAGCCCTTAAGCTCTCAATCCTAGCGACCCTAAAAGCACCAAAGCCTGAAAACCTTGATCAAGATCCACGGACACCGAAACAAGCACACGAAAAGCCGTTTAAAACATCCTGAAGCCGCCTGCATTTCGTAAAGTTAGCACACCCTAGACCCTACACCCTCGCAGCAGCAATTCCTGAACGCAACCGCCCGGGCGCCACGAAGTCCTGAGAGGACGGCTCTCGGGAGTCCACGAATGCCAAGATCAACCTCGTGGACTTGGCAGGTCCCGGGGGCATTGTACTATTTATAATAAATCCTAGGGTTCCTTCAAAGGGATCTATAAGGGTATCTTTAAGGGGTTCCGTTAAGGGATCTGTAGGGTTTACATAGGGTTTAGGGATATAAATCCTGCATCACCCATAATCATAAGAAGGAGTATTCCATAATTCCCATAGTTTAGCGTTCTTAAGGTAATGCAGGATTTATATCATCAGCAGTATTTATAATAAGGAACCCTGAGGAATCTTAGTCATATAGGGGCCTTGGTAGCATTAGAATAGGGTTTTGCAGTTTGGAGTTTTCGAGTCCAGGATTTATATCCCTAAACCCTACAGATCCCTTAAAGGAACCCCTTGAAGGTACCCTTATAGATCCCTTTAAAGGAACCCTAGGGCTCAGGGCTGAAGCTTACTGATGGGGCCAGGGTAAAGGTCGCTATAAGGCTTAGTTGGGGCTTTACGGCCTTGTTGCCAAAAAGTGGGTATAAGGATTTCCATCGTCGTTCTGGTATTTTATGGTGGGGCCCCCAGAATAAGGTACCCCTAATTTTCGGAAACTCCCATTTAGGATTCTCATAGGGCTTCGCAGAAGCCCCCAAGCTCAAAAGGTCGCGTCGGCAGGGCCTGGGGCTTTTGTAAACCTCTAGGAAGCCCCATTAAGGGTTTAGGATTTAGGGTTCAGGGTAAACTTGTTCCTTCGCAACCGTTCTCCGTTTTGATACAATATCAACTTAACGCCCTTTATAAGCGTGCTTTGTCTATGTCCGCAGGCCGACCTAGAGCATACGACCAGAACCCCAAAACCCCCAAAAGATTGCTTTCTGAGGGCCTAAATCCCAAAGCCTAAACCCTAAGCCCTAAACCCTAAACCCTAAACCCTATAAACCCTAAACCCTAAATCCTAAAGCCTAAACCCTAAGCCCTAAACCCTGAACCTCAAACCCTCAACCCTAAAACCACGCCCCGCAGCCCAAAGGTTCCCGGAATGACTTAAGGGCTCCTAAGGGTTCCTTTACGGGTTCTACAAGAGTTTAGGGTATTCCTGAGGCTGCGCTATTGTAGCAGTACTAGAATGTACCTCAACACCTTAATTAGTCTACTTTTTAAGGGCACTACTAAGCAATCACAAGCATAGAGAGCCCCACGTCCTAAATCCATACAGAACGCTACAAACACGTATTGTATCTAAGATTCCTTTAAGAACCCCATACAGACGCATATTATAGAAGCCCCAAGATGGCCCTAAAGTACTATACGCGTGCCTATAAGCTTAAACCATAATGTACCACCGAGCGATGTTCTTAAAACTTACCCGCCCCATATCATCGAAGCTTCACAGTTACGCGTAAAGGAACCCTTCAACGAATCCTTATTGAAATCTTGCTGTGCTTTGTAAGGGGCTTCAACCCCAAACCCCAAATGTTAAACCCTAAACCCGTAAACCCCAAACCCCTCAGCCTCAAATGCTAACCCTAAACCCCAAACCCCTAAATCCTAATCCTGTACCAAATGCCCTATGCCCTGAACCCTCACGCTAAACCCTCAACCCTATAATATCCCTATGATATCAACCTTAAACCCTGAACCATACACATTCCCAAACCCTAAACCCCAAATCCTATAAACCCAATAAGCCCTAGAACCCTATAAATCCCATAAGCCCTATAAACCCCATAAACCCTACAACCCTGAACCCCCTCAAGCCTTAAACCCTAAACCCTACGTATTCCATCCTTTGTCCCGAGGTTCAGATAGTATCCCGGAATACAGTACCCTTATAGTAACCCCTATTATATTACCCTTTTTGAAACCTTTTAGATCCCTTTCAAGGAGCCTTAAACCACAAAAAAACCCTATTTCTTAGAAGGGGCCCCCACCCTGTAATAGTGGTATAGTAGGAATATAATAGGGCCCTAATATAATCCTTATAATCACTATTACAGGGTGGGGGCAGCTTCTAACCTATTTGCTCCCCAGGTTCAGAGAGGCACAAGTCCTCCGACTTTCAGGGCCACACCTTCAAAGAAGGCAGGGTTTTGGGTGGGGTTTGGGTTTTTTTTGGGGTTTTTGGGGTTTAGGGTTTAGGGTTCAGGGTTTAGGGTTTGGGTTTTTGAGGAGTTTGGGGGGTGGGGGTTTTGGGGGGTTTGGGGGTTTGGGGGTTTAGGGGTTTGGGGGTTTGCGGGTGTTTCGGGTGTTTGAGGGTTTCGGATGTTTGTGCTTCGGGTTTAGGGTTCAGGGATTTGGGGTTTAGGGTTTGGGGTTTGTGGTTTAGGGTGTCGGCAGCCCCAGGCCTCCGTTTCGTTTAAGGTTCTCAAAGCGTTTAGGGTTGGAATCTTAAGGAGTTATAGGGTTTATAGACTGCATAGAGTTTAGGAATTTGTTTATAGGGTTTAGGGTGTGTAGGGCTTCTAGAATCTATCGGCAGCCCGGGCTTCCGTTTGTTAATCTATTGGGTTTGAGGTTTCGGGTTTAGGGCATAGACTTTGAGGGTTTAGGGTGTTAAGGGCTCAGTTAGGCTTTTTAGCACAGTAGGTTAGACATGTAACGCTTCGTTCGTGAAACTGCCAAAACTTCTTGCCCGACTCAGATAAAGGGGCGCTTTCTCACGCCACAAAACCCGCCCGTGCTTCTCTTAGTTGTCGGGGCTGGGTCCACGAGTTTGGCTTTAGGGATGCTTAGGGGCTTGGATTCCGGGTTGCTGGCCTTTTGTAGGGTTCGAGGTGTTGGGCAAGGTGTTTGTACGGCTTGAATGCCGTTTCTACCCTGCAGCACCTGATACCTTAAACCTGAAGCCCTGGACCCTGAACATTCAAGCGTATGCAGCCTATTATGGTGTGGAAGGGCCTGCCGTCAATGATTTGAAAGTTTCACAACTGGAACCCTGTGACTTACACCCTAAGCCCTACACATCAAGCTAAACCCTAGACTCTACTAAACCCTCAGCCCAATCATCATATGATACTAAAGTTACAATAAGGAACCCCCAAAAGCTATATGATACTATAACTACAGTAAGGAACCCCCCCCCAAAAAATCAACAACAAATCGAACGCAGGCTGTGCCATCAACCAGAGCCTGTCGGCCTTGGCTTTGGACGCCAAGCTGCAAGCTGGGTTTTTACATGGGTCCTGCGGATCTAAATGGGCCTGTTAAGGGATAAATAAGGGTGGCTATCAGGGTACTATAGGGGTTTAGAGTTTAGGGGCTTAGGGGCGTACAGTTCGGGATGGTTTGGGGTTCAGAGTTCTGGTTTTCACATGGCTTCTATGTGGATTTTCCAGTTCTTCATGGGTTCTATCTATTGAGGGCAGAAGGGCTTCAATTGGGTTCTGCATGGGTTCTTGAAGGGCAGAGGCTGAGACTTCAGGTCTTTCGGTTTTTGCGGCACAAGTTTCGAGATCTTATAAAGATTCATTTGTACCCTCTCCACAGCTTTTTCAGGTCATCAAGGAACTCGGGGAGCAGCAGCAGAGTCGCGTGATGAGGCTCCTTCTGTGGCGCTGGTCGTATGAAGGGGATTTTGAGATGTTGTGTATTGCCTCCCGAGGCGTAGTGTCCTCAGGGTTCAAAGCAAGCTGTCCAGATTCGCGATCACGGTCGCAATCGGGCTTTCCACTAGAGAAACCTTTCGCTACGCGCGTCTGGTTCGTTTGGTGTTACGTAGTTCATGCCAAGGTTGCCAAGAAAAAGGACGCAGTGCACTGGGGACAAGAACCGGGAGTCGATCCTTGAAGTCAAAGAAGTGAGACAGAGCGAGCAGGAATTCGACAATCAGCGGGTGGGGGGGGGGGGGCTGCCGAGATGCGAGCACAGCCTGCAGAATGCTCAAGAGGAGGAAGCCTCACATGGTGTGAATGCAACGGGCTCTGCATCGTGACCGCTTTCACTGTGCTACATGTAGCTCCTCCTGGTGGTGGTAGTTGCTGTCTTCGTCCTCCTATTTCCTGAACCAGCACAAGCCTTGAAGCCAGTCTTGCGCTGCCGAAAGCATGCCCTGAGGGGGGGAGCATTCGAATCACAAGCTGGACTTACAGTTTTCAACATAGTTGGTTTATGTGATTGTGTTTAGTTGAAACCCTAAACCCTAAATTGTATAATCCACCTCAAATCCCGATGATTACATCTAATCAGGCCCCGAAACTGTTTGGTTGCTCGCGGGTCCTCGTTTTTTGCCTGCACATCGTTGCCTATTACAAGGGTTTGGGGTTTTGGGTTGCGGGGTTGACCCAAGACCTTGTTCGAATCAGTCAGGCCCATGCATTGCACTTATTCTTGAGAGAGAGAGATCTTCGAAGAAGACAGCAGACAGTCTGATTGCGGGTACGTATTTGGAAGTACCGTATCTCGGGTCCTTTTAAAGTCAGGATCCTACTTTGTAGGGTCCTCACTTTCCAACATTTTCCAACCTCCCTTAAATTAAGTACCCTATGTCGGGTTATGCCAGAGCACACCCGGGTTCAAGCGTTCTGTGAAGTCATAAGCGATCCCCTGAACGCCAGCATCGTAAATCCACAAGCATGAACTCCTCCGAACAGACAACGACAGCAATACAAGCGACAGCACCGACACGCCGAGAAGGCAGAGTTCACGGAGCATGCAGACCGAAACCACAAACCCCCAAACCCTAAAGCCTTAAACCCTAAGCCTTGGAGCCCAGAAGTGAAGGCAGCGCTCACGGAGCATGTCCATCGATAAGACCGCTGGCCTTGGGCCCGTGCCTGCTCCAGCAGGGGGACTGTTGGAGGTGAAGGCGGGGACAGTCTGGAGCATTTAGGGTTTTTGTTGTGGCTTTTAGGGCTTTAGGGCCTAGAGTTCATTGTTTTTGGTTTGGGTGTTTTAGGGTTTCCTTTTAAGGGTACGTTTAGTCAGTGTGAGTGTCATTAAGACACCTGCCTAAGCAAGGGTTGCCAACATCAAGATAATGTTTCCGATCATTGATATCTGATTGATATCTATCACATGGGATTATGAGTTCAGGGTCAGCAGTGTGTTTTTTTTTTCGGGAGTTCTCATAAATGGGTTTCTTCCGAGGCTGCATGCAGGCTCTTTATGGGGCTTCCCTGGGGTTTTGCGGATGTGGGTGGTTCTCTAAAAGTAGCGTCCTGTTCAGGCCCCCAAATTACTACCGCACCCTCATGAAAAGCACCCTAAAAGGGACCCTAGCTTAGGGAACTACCCTAACACCCCTTCTTCTAGAAACCCTTATAGGAAGCGCTAAAAGAAACCCTTATTCCCCGAAAAGAAAGGGGCCCCTAAGTTCGAAAACTACCCATGTGGGAGTTCCCGAAAATAGGGGACCCTAATAGAGTACCCTAAATTATACTAGGATCCTTATAACCCGGACCCCCTAATAAGGTACCCCTAATTTTCGGAAACTACCATAATATGCTTCGGGCCAGCAGGATGCCGAAGACCCGGGATGTGAGCAGTTTGGTGCCTTACACGTCGAATGTAGGGTGCCTTTAAAGGGGTCTATAAGGGCTACTTTTACATAAGGGATCTGCAAGGGTACTATAATAATGTAGGAATCTGACTAAGAAACCTTGGGCCTCTATTGGGGCTCCCTATATGAATCCTACTATTCTAGGGTTACAGGCCCAGGGTTTCTTAATCAGATTCCTACATTAGGAGTTTCAGAGGTCTTTCGAAGTTGCTCGGGTCTTCATTCATTTCGGTTTCAGAAAAGTGTCTGGGCTTATCAAAGGTTTTGTCCGGATTTCAGGTATGGGGTTTAGCCTCTACAGGTTTGATCTAGGCTGGAGTCGGCTGGGTATGTTACATGTTTAGGGCGTTGGGTGTATGTACGGTTGTACAGCCTTTCAGCGTTTTGGGTTTGGTTTCAGAGCTTAGGGTCTAGGGTCCCTTACCCGGTTCAAGATTCTAAGGTTGACGGCATCCGAGAGCCTGGACCCACATGGAGAGCCCTTAGGGAAGACTCCAAGAAAAAGTAGGTTAACGTAGCTCTGGCTTGGGAAGCATAGCCTGCTTATTTCTCCCAAAGCCTTGGTGAGCCTTAGTGTTGATATAAATGTCCCCATATGCACATGAGGCTCAGGTGATCTTTCATCTTTGAGCTTGTATTGGGGTCCAATTCCAGGGATTCTTAGGAGTACTACGGTTGATATATAAATCCTGCATTACCCATAATAAGGAATATGCCGTAATTCCCATAGTTTAGGGTCCTTAAGGTAATGCAGGATTTCTATCATCAACAGTAGTAGTCCCCTTGGACCCCCTCCTTTTAGGATGGCATCGTCCTAATCGCAAGTAGAAAGTGCGGCATCCACAATGCTGTCGCGTGAACGTTTATACCACACTCACAGCGAAGATCAAATACATGTACCTCTATCTATCCATGTATGCACACACATAGAGATGTATATGCTGTACATGTGTGTGTATATACACACATACACATGCCAGATGGATGGAGATGTATCCTAACGCTCGCCCGCAACCCGAAGCTACAAACCCACCAGTCGCGAGAGGAAGTCGTTCCCTTCCGATCCTCCAAGCTCACGTTGCTTGGTCTTTGGGGCTCGGGGGTTGTGGTTGTGAAGCGAGGGGTATCAGGATTCAACAACTTAGTTTTGCCCTCTAGCCCCTTGTAACAAATTATTCATGCCAAAGCCTCATTCGAGTTGTCAAGCTTAAGCTTCGAGGGGCTTGTGGTGTGTCTTTAGGAAGCTTCGAAAGTCTTCGGACGCCACTCGCTGCTAGTTGTGTCCGCACATCTTTGCAGCTGTGTAGGGATTTGATCATGTGGTTCTTTTTTGTTGTGGGTGGCGCGTGTAATCCTAGCACAACTATCCGATCAACCGTCTTGGGACAGAAAATCAGGAAGTAGTTGGCTCTCAGTATCATCGAGGCCTTGCCGAAAGAACCAGCGATGTGGATAGATCGTGTTCGTCGTGGTTCTGAGGGTGCTCAATTCCAGGGAGGGGTCTCCTCCAAGCCGTCCGGAGAGCCTTCCCTCATTGTGTGTTTGCATTGGAGAGCATGACTCGATGCTGCTCCAAGCTTCCTGTTTCAACCCAGGTTTTTGCTTCGGGATTCCCTGGCCGGGAATACACGGAGTCGAATGGTAGCCTGGCTCGGTGTTAGTTTTCAAGACGAGGCATCAAGAGGGACTGTTGCGACTGCTAGTGACTGTTGCTGCCGGTGCCGCCACTACTGCTGCGACTGCTATGACAACAGACACGGTGATGACGACCGAGCTTTCCAAGTCCTGCTACCGCTGGCTGGCAGCTGCGGCTGCTTCTCCTCCTCCAACAACAACTACTACTGCTACTGCTACCGCTCCTGCTCCTCCTACTGCCACTGCCACTGCCACTGCCACTGCCGCTGCCGCTCCTGCTCCTGCTCCTGCTCCTGCTCCTGCTCCTGCTCCTGCTCCTGCTCCTGCCCCTGCCCCTGCTGCTGCTGCTGCTACTGCTGCTGCTGCTACTATTGCTACTTCTACTACTGCTACGGCTACTGTTGCTCCTCCTCCTCGTCCTCCTCCTACTACTACTCCTACTCCTACTCCTACTCCTACTCCTACCCCTACCCCTACTCCTACTCCTACTCCTACGACTACGACTACGACTACGACTACGACTACTCCTACTCCTAGTCCTACTCCTACGACTACGACTACGACTACGACTACGACTACGACTACGACTGCTGCTGCTAGTCTTGCTGCTGCTGTTGCTGCTACGACGTGTTTACTTCCAGCAGTACTCGTAACTACTACGACACTCCTACCAGCATGGAGACGACGAATCAGGTAGCGTGTATCTCGCCCGCCGCCATAAATGCAGATGAGACGATCAGCAACTCGGCTCTGGCTTACGAGTACATGCAGCAGGGGTTTCGGATATCTCATCCTTGAGGTCCTTGGGATCTGAGCTTACAAGCGGGTTCGTTGCTTCTGCTCTTCTTATCCTCACATTCCTTGGTCCTCTACGGAATCGAACCATGATCCGGAAGTAGAGGCAAACCTTAGATCCCCATGCTTTCGGACCCGAGTCCTGTTCTTGACTTAGGAAGTCACAACATAATCGTAGGTTTTATGCACATGAACCAACCAACCACACCTACGATCTGCAGTCAGTCTTTCATGATTCAGGCTTGCTTTCATTTCCATCACGCGAACACTTCCAGTTTTTGTCTCGGAGTCGGGCCGATCTCAAACTTTTGGACCCACATCCCGAAAGCTTATGGTACACCCTACCGCCAAAACTTCCGGGACGCTGCTGGCAGATCGGAAAAGGGCCAATACAAAAAAGAGACAAACTTTCTGAACTTAAAAATTGCCTGATCGTGAACCCTGTAGCCTAGAACTGAAGCCCACGTTTTCAGCCCTTGAGCCTGAACTTGAAAGCCCATAACGACAGGAACTAGGAGAATCATGATGGCGATAGAACTAGCACCACAAGTGCTACTAGCGTGACTCGCATATCGTCATTATAGGCCGACTCCTAAGCCCGAAACCTAAAACCCGGAGCCCACCCTCGACGAGAAGTCTGATAATCCAGGCACCGGAAGCCCCAGGCCAAGCCCGCTAAACCCGAGGCCGTGTAGCAATCAATCTTTGCAATTGAAGGACGGACGTACTTACAAGCAGGGCTATGGGTGAAGCATTTAGGTCTATGAGTCTATGAGTGATTACAGTCCCAACTTTAAACTTAGACTATGCCAATACTTGCAACTACCCTGAAATCCCCAACGCCCCCTAAAATCCAGGAAGCTCAGCAAAAACTCTCCAAAACGTCCTCAGGAAGGCCATCAAAAATCAGTTTCCAACAACATGCCTTCTACAACTTTCCCCTGAAACCTCTTCCACGTGTATGAGAAAGCTTCTAAGAATTTCGTCTATAGCCTCCCATTGTACTTGCCACGACGGCACCAGCCCTTAAACCCGAAAGCAAAGCCCTTCTAAGCTCCTACAACCGCTGGTTTAGGGGTTTAGAGCTTTAGGGGTTTAGGAGTTTCGGGGTTTAGGAGTTTTAGGGGTCAGGGGTTTAGGGGTTTAGGGGTTTAGGGTATATAGCGTTTACGCACAAACCCCTTATGCAACCCTTCAGCGATCCTTCTACAAGTCTGCAAAAAGTCCTCAAGACTGATTTGAAGAACTTATGATGACGAAGTATGCATCCCCATAAAGCCCCTTGTTTTTTGAATCCCATAAAGCCTGTTTATGAATCCCCATACAGCCCTTTTGTGAACCCCGTGGCTTGGGTACTGCCCCCACTCAGTGACTGTTGAAATTATATTCATATTCTATAAAAAGCAGGACCTTAATAGTCGCCCTGTTATTGACTGTTACTGTATAGGCGCAGTGCCCAACCCAGTAGTCGAGTAGCTAACCTTTAACCTTCTTTGGGTAGTATAGTCCCTATATAATCCTATATAACCAAAAAGGTTGGCCTTTAGTTCCCCATGATATCCGACAAGTAGGCCAACCTGTAGCCATCTGGGTGGGGTCAGAGCTGTCTGCAAGGCACCTGCCGCTTCGCCACTTCGGTGAAGAAGGCGCTTTTGATTCGGGCACCCCAAGATAGGGGGCCCTAATGTAGTACCCTAAATAGTAGGATTCTTATTATAAGGTCCCTAATTTCCGGAAACTCCCGATATAATCATAAACATTTTATAGAGATGTCCCTACCTTCTTGGGCTCCATTGTAAAGGGTTCTAAAGAGCCCCTATTAGAGGGAGAGAGGATTGCTTTTTTTTGGGAGCTAAGTTTAGGGTCTTAGGTTTGGGTTTAGAGGTTTGGCTTCGAGGATTAGTGTTGGAGTATGTGTATGCTTTCGGAATGCTTTCGTGGCAATCCTCTTCTCTTGATTGGACCTAGCTGTGCATCTGTAAAGGTGGGATGTTAGGGTTTCAACACTGGCCTGCAGTCTCGTCCCAGCAATTGTTTATTGAGTCTTAGTCGGTTTGAATGCTCAGCTTTTGTTTCTTTTTTAGTTTGGAGGTTCTGAGCGTCGGAGCAGTTTGCGGCATTGAGAGTTCAGGCTTTAGCTGTCAAATTCCGCGGCGCAGGCATGCAGGTTTTCGGCGTTCTGGGTTTGAGTTTTTGGGCCTTGGGGTTTCAAGGCTTCAGGTTTGGGGTTGGGCTGGGATGTACCTGTTTAGGAGAGCAGGACGTAAGGTTTCATGGCGAAATGGGAGTGGTCTGCTTGGATGCCGAGTTTCTGTCGGGGTCAGTATTCAGGATTGTTCAAAGTTCAAGCTTTTCCTGAGTGCTATGCTACTTGCCCTGGACCCAAAGTGCAGCAAAAACGAATCCTACTCCTGAAGTGAACCTAAGAACTATAAATCCCAAACCCCAGGTCTATTCAAGTACTATAGGGGCCTTATGAATTACCTACACTGTTTTCGGGGTTCCTTATGATATTTATGGTATAATTGAGGCCCCACAAACCCTATTCTAATTACCAAGGCCCCTACAGTAGCCATGAAGCCCGAATGCCTATCCTGTGACCTTCAAGCCCATGACTGTCGGGTTCTTAGTAGGGAAAGGAGGAAATGGATTATGGAGACCACTCTTGGGGAATATATCGGGACTACTATAGGGATCCATTCCGCCATTCCCTACTAAGCAACAGACAGATGAATACACAAGCTTTCGCAGGTCAAGACGAATGCATGTGTCAACGTGGACCGGAAGAAGGGTGTGGTTCAGCACCTCCAGGCGTGCCTTCGGGTTCAGGGTTTTTAGAGCTATGGGCTTGTGGGTTTTATGTTTGGGGGTTGCTACGTTGCCGAAAAGTTTTTGCTGTGCTTAGCCGTGTTTAGAGTCATGTCGGTTTTCCCTCAACCCCAAAAAAGTAAACTGCTGCACAGGGGGGATGTTGCTGAATGGATTGTCGTTCCGGGTTTTGCGTTCGTGGCTCGAGGTTCGAAGCTTAGAGTAAAGGGCTTCAGGCCTGTAACTTCAGGCATACCCTAAACCCGAAAAACCCTAAACCTTGAAGTAAGGCAAGGTCTGGAGCTGATAGACATTGACATCTTCGACTCCGAGCCGTAATCGCTCCAAGTCCAAAAGAGCCAGAAACGTGAGATCCCAAATCCGAAACCCTGAATCCCAAGATCCAATTCAAACCGAATGGCTTAAACCCCTGCAGCATAAACCCAAGACCCTAAAACCCCTAAACTCCTAGTACCCTTATAGTAACCTTTTATAGATCCCTTTCAAGGAACCCTAAGCCCTAAAGAAGCAGACTGAAGGCAGAGATCCGCCGGCTCAAGAAGCTTCTTGCAGCGCGGGGGGTCGAGGCGGATGTGGGGTTAGGGGTTAGGGTTCAGGGGCTTAGGGATGAAAGGGTTTCAGGGTTGGTTCATGGCTGGGACGTTATAAGTTCAGGGTTGTATAGGGTTCAGAGTTCGGGGTTTAGTGTGTTGATCTTGTGGGTCGCTCGTTTATACGTTGGGTTTTGATTGTGGTAACTCCATTTAGGGTACTTACAACTCTACTTGCTAAGTCCCCTGCCGCTCCGAGAAGCCTTGGGTAAAAGCCCGCCAGACACCGAAACAGAAAGCGCCTCTGGTCACCATTGGCGAGAGCAATAGAACTTTTGGGTTTAGGGCTTAGGGGTTTAGGGGTTTGGGAGGTTTAGGGTTTAGGGGTTTGGGGTTTAGGGTTTAGGGTTTAGGTACAGCTATCGATCTAGCCAGCAGCGTCACTCTGTCAGTCTCATTAGCACTATGGGGCCAGCAACATCATCACCATCACCATCGGTACAGGTCATCACGTCCTATGATTTCAATCATATGCATATATACACACATACACATGTGTATGTGTATATATATATATATAGATAGATATGTGTTTGCCAGTTTGCATGTTGTTTGCTTCGTTGGCATGTTCTACTTGCCCCCGGCTTTCACCACTGGTGCCAATCTTACTCATCGCCATTATCAGTATCATCATTGCAGTCATTGCTAGATTCTCAAAGGCCCACTGCCTACGTGCGGTATCAGTCCTTTATCGTACCTTTGGTTAGTAGGGAATGGAAGAATAGGGTACAAGTATAACCACTATAATTACCATTCTTCCATTCCCCAACCTAACCAAAGGTAAGTTATTGCAAGTGAGAGCTACAGCCCTGCAGACGACACTCCTTCAGTCGCCAACCGCTGATTGCTCAGCAGATTGTTGTCGCTGTGTTTATGCAGCTGATGCATGTCGGCCAAAGCTGAACGGCGGCACCGCGCCTTCTGTCGCATTCTTCGCCTGCAGTGGCCTTTGAAGCGTCTTTCTCGCCAGCTCCAAGCATGATAGGTGGCATGTAGGGTGTCCCCGGTCCGCAGCTGGCCTGCACCAGCAGGTAGCCATCGTACATTTGCAAGTGACAACCGGGGTCGCAGCAGAACATGCGGTGCACCGTGGCAACTTGGGGGTGCAGAGGGGCATACAAGTCGGAGGAGCCAGAGCCGTCACGCCGGAGCATCGCGGCATGAAGAACAGCCATGCACGCAAGGCGCCAGTGCGCCACCCTCGGGCAGACGAGATGTCAGCCGGCTCTCGAGCCAACAGAGACATGGCAGGTCTGGTTGACGACACGTCGCATGTAGGTGCAACAGAGCAAAGCGATGCCAGCCGAACGATGGACTCTTTTACCAGAAGCGCGGCCGGGTTTGCTTATTGACCCGCCCAAATACAGGGGCAAGGGCGCCTTGACAACACAAAACTCTCTACCAAAAAACCTCAGCCAGTCCTGCCTTGGCTCCGAATCGGAGGTCGGTGCTCTAGGAGCTGGTTCAGTGCAGGAGGCAGCTTGGCTCAGCGTTTAGGGGGTTGAGGTTTGGATATGAGGGGTTGGGGTTCAGGGTTCAGGGTTTAGACTTTAGGATTCGGGTTTAGGGTTTATGGCTTGGGGTTCAGGGTGAACGGGTTTAGGATTCAGTTTGGGCCTCCTTGTTGTTGTTGTACCCGCTCCTCTGTTGAGCTTGTCGATGGGTCTGGGGTTCAGTTTGGCCTCGTATTGCAAAGAGCCGCAAGAGCAGAACTTGGCGGTTAGTTTAGTTCATGAACCGTTACAAGGAAGCTTCCGAAAATTAGGGGTACCTTATTTTGGGGTCCTTATAATAATATAAGGATCCGACTATTTAGGGTACTATATCCAATTTCGGAAACTCCCATGAGACTTTCTACGGGAAATCTGATATTTGGCGGTTCACAGCTTGAGGTCGAGACTTCCGTACAGTTGTGATTGTGTGTTTAGGTTTAGCATCGTGGGGCTTCAGTGCCTTCAATGTGGCCAGGCGTCTTAGAAGCTTGTTTAGGGTTTTCAGGGTCAGACTTGTAACAGCTCAGGAACAAGTTGCCCATATTGAAGAGTGTGCCAGAGGAGGTTGAGATTTTGAACCCTGTCGTCTCCAGCCCTTAAACTCAATAAGAAACCTTGTGCCCTAAGCCGTACAGCCTATTACAAACACGTTTGCCAGAACTTGTCGAACCTCACCCCCAAGCAAACGAACTGCGATGTTTGCAGTGCTTCGAGAACTCTGAGCAACATCAGAACTGCTGTAGGCATTTTGCAAGAACCACATGAAACTTCATAGGCCCCCATTAGGTAACCTATCATGACCTTGTGAGAACCCTGTTTGAAGTCATAGGAGTTGCGAAGTCGAGCGACCAGCAGGGCAACTATGTTCTTGCTGGTACCTCTATCTCACAATGTAGCTATTTTGGATTTTCAAAGCATGAAGTTACCTAGATAAGCCTGACATGTACCCTTGGAGGAACAATCCTTGCAACACCCCACCACCCACCTCAAGCCCCAGATCCCTGTATGGCACGCGAAACCCCCAAAGACCTTAACCTCCCGAGCCCCATATCAAACCCGAAGAGGCCATTGCAATAACATACTTACCCCAAGCCCCACGCCCCGAATGAAACCCTAAAAACTCTGAACCCTAAACCGATGTAATATAGGGGCCTTAATAAGTAGAATAGGGTTTTGGAGCCCGTTATACCATAACTATAATAACACTAAACCCCCCCCCAAAAAAAAAATAGTATAGGTAATTATTTAGGCCCACATATTAAGGATGAAACCCGAGAAAAGTCCCAGAGCCCCCACGGCTGCCCAAGGAGATCGCCGATCGAGAGCGTGTCTTGAAGACTCTGAAGCAGTCCCTTGGCAGCGACTCTGAGGGCTCCAGGGACTCCTAAAGTTTAGGGTTTAGGGTTTAGGGTTAAGGGTTAAGGGTTTAGGGTTTAGGGTTTAGGGTTTAGGGTTAAGGGGGTTTAGGGTTAAGGGGGTTTAGGGTTTAGGGTTTAGGGTTCAGGGTTTAGGGTTTAGGGTTTAGGGTTTAGGGTTTAGGGATACCCAGGGCTCCTTTAAGGGATTTAGAGGGACTCCTGGGGTTCCTTTAAAGGATCTGCCTAGGGTTCCTTTAGGGTTTTTTGTTGGGGTTTAGGGTTTAGGGGACTCTAATATCCCTCAATTGAGGAATATTCCTGAAATCATATGAGCGATCCTACTACAATTTAAGGAAAAGTCCTCAATTAAGGGATATTGGGGTCTCTGAGGGCTCCAGTAATCACTTAATATAGGGTTTTTCTTGGGGTTCCGTACTATGACTATGCTAGAATATGCCCGGAAACGATGTTCTCATTGTTAATGTCCCCATATTTCCTAGACAGCTGCCTGGGCCTCTTGTTACTTAAATATTGGGCTACTGAGTATCGCGCTACAGGGATAGCAAGCTGAGACAGAGCCTGGTTCCGACGCCGCCTCTTTTGGGTTCAGGGCGTTTTGGGGTTTCCGGAAAGCCTAGCTCGTCAACCCTACACCCTGAACTGCTTGTTTAGAGCCCAGGGCTTTGGGAATTCTGGCTTTAGGCCTTAGGCTTTTTAGACCGCAGATTTAGGGGCTGAGGGTTCTATTTGAACAGAAAATTCTTTTGGGAGCCCTACAAAAAGTTCGGGATTTTGGAAGGTTTTAGGGGGGAAGGTGATTGCGGGTTTTAGAGTTCAGTAGGGTTTAGAGGGTGGAGGGATTGTTGGGTTTCGGGCACAGGGTGTCTGCACGTGCGTCGTGAAAAATTGAAGACTTACACTTTGTTTCGGGTGCACATATACGAGCTTCAGGGCAAGGTTTAGGCGAACCTCACGCCTGAAGATCTCAGCGCTGCTATTCCTCTCGTCTCCTCATGTTGGACTAAGGCTCCGGACTTTGAAGGTTTCTTTACGTCTGCAGGCTTTGAGGAGTTGTAGCACAAGTTTCAGGGCCACTGCTTGACAGACCGTGCAGACTTGGTAGGCTGGCTTTTTTCGGGTTCTACGTATACTAAGAGAGGTGCATCAGAAGCACGAAGAGTCGTAGTTTGTCGTGGTCGTTGTCGATGTCCCCGGCGCAGTTCCTTTAGGCCTCGCAGCACCCATAAAGAAAAACCCTCACCCTAAATCCCTAAACCCTAGATCCTTACCCCAAGCCCTAAACCCCAAACCCTAAATCCCTATCAACATCCTCACCCAGCCGACAAAGATGAGCCCAAGCAACCTCCCAGGAGCTACCAGGTACAGGTCGAGGAGGCCAGGGACTCGAGAGGGGTCCAACCTAATATAGGAGCCTTAATAATTAGAATAGGGTTTGGGGATACGTATACTACAACTGCAACAAGGAACCCCCAAAAGAGTACTGGCAATTATTTAGGCTCCTACATTATTAGTTGTCTTAATCCTTAGTGCAGTGCTTGCGATCTGTACTGTGTGCACATTGCATAGCAGCATTCTGAGTGCCATGCTACGATACGTGTTCTTGCCTTCTTCGCTGCTACTAGTTTCCGGATTTTGCTAGCGCCTCAAGGAAAGGGGGATTTCCATGCCTTTTAATTAGAGCATGAGACCTACATACCTACATACATACATAGAGTTGAGGCCATTGATGCCTTCTTGCTACGTGTCTCTGGCCCAAGACATGGATAAAGGGTTCCGTGCGACTGGGCCCAACTCGATTCAGATGAACTCCTTAGATTGCTGGAGACTCTCCCTGTGAAGCAAATACGGACATTCCTCCGTTACTCTCCCTATGGAGCGAAAGCGGACATTCCTGCGATGATGCAAAAAAATCCTTAGCAAACCTCCGTCGCTGAATCTATTGACCGGTTTCCTAAGTGCGCTGAAGCCTACATGCTAAAACAACTTCCTTAACCTCTTCTAGGAAGGTGGCTCAGAGGAGGGACGATCTTGGATCTTTCTGGTCTCCGACCGGGTTTAAGGTTTAGGGCTTCTTTACGGTGCAGGGCTTAGCGTGTATTAAGAAGCCCAACACAGCCCACACAGCATTATCAGTATCATTACGTCACTAGTACCCCTAAGCCCGAAAAATTGAATTTGCATCAACCTTAGCCGGTTTAAGACTCAAGCTAGAACCTACGAGCCACCAAAACCCTACAAGCCTAAACCCAAAGCCCTGAACCCTAAAAGCCTAAAACCCCGCAATCTTTGTAGAACCCTTAAAGCAACCCTTAGACGCGGCCCTGAAGCCCTCCGAACATCACCCGCAAAGGCCCGGCTTCTGGCTACAGCACGCAAGGAGGCGCTGAACCAGCAGGGCCTCAGCAGCGAGGAGCCAGGGTCCCCCTTAGACAGGATGTGCCTAAAGTCTCCATTGTAGTTCCTTTCTTAGTTTAAGCATTCTTGTCATTAACTTACCTTATAATCCCATATTATCAGGTAACCCCAAAAAAGGAACTACAATGACAACTATGACTGTTCAGGGCTTGCGGCCCTACAAGAGAAGTGCTGTGTGCGATGTTTGACAGAGTTTCGAAGGCCTCCCGGGATGAAGAGGGTTCAAGGATATTTCAGGGCTGAAGGGGTCAACTAGTGCTTTGGGTTGAGGGTTCCGGGCTTTGCAATATTGGGTTCCCGTTAAAGAATTTAGTTTAAATTGCCCTGCAGTAGGCATCTATGGTAAATCGTACTAACGCTTTCCTTTTCTTGGTAACTTCAAGTGCATTCCATAACAAGAACGGTTTAGGGTTTAGGGTGTTATCGACAGAGTTCGCTGACATATCTTAGGAAAACCAAGCCCCAAGAGCTAAGCCGGGGCCGGGGTCCAGGGTTTCAATTTTAGAGCTTAAAAACCTATAGGGGTCTACATAATTACCTATACTATTTTGGGGTTCCTTATTATGATTATAGTATATTTAAAGTTTTTGTATTAAGGCTGTCAACCATAGACCCTAGAAAACCCAATCAAGCACAGATAGTTCCCCCGGGTACGTAGAGTTCAACGGCCAGAAACCCTCAAGCAGTGTTGCGCGCATTTTAAGCCCTAAGCCACAAAGCCTCAATGATCTGAATGCCTAACCCGCTTTTTCAGTCCAAATACGTATTCGTCTACAGCCCTTGTCTGTCCTTTTCAGATCCCCTGTAATTGTAGGGCCCTGTAGAACCTTTTGTTGACTGGTGCGCTCCGCCAGGACGTGGATGAAGTCTTTGGACTCGAAAAGAGCCTCAGATGAAGTGTACGGGGTTTACGAGGGTTGCCATGAGGGTGTTGATAAGGGTTGATATGCGGGTTACCGCAAGGCGTCCACACGGGCTACCATCGGGGTTGCTATACACGCTCTATAAGAGCAACTAGAAGGGTTACAAGGCTTGCTATAAAGGTTCTGTAAACCAGTTTCACTAGAAGGGTTTTAGGGCTTTCTGGTTTCACGGTTCATGGTTTCGGGTTGTAGGTTTGAGGGCAGTGGGCTGTTACACCACGCAGCAACTGTGCGTGTTGGGTGTGGGCTTCACCACAGCAAGCTTTGCCAGGAACACCCCGCACCTGCTCAACATGAGCCGCTTGGTTCGCTCAGAGGGCGCAGTTCAAGCCCGGAGGTTTGGGAAACCCTTATGAAAAGGAGTTATGCACTGGAAGCCTGACATTGTGGCACCGCTAAACCCGACAGCCCGAAGCCTCAATCCCTCTGTTCTAGTCAAAGCCTTTTTGTATATAGGCATGGCAGTGATAGTAGTTATCCTGGTAGTAGGTGATTGCAGAAGATTTCATGCCCTAAGCTTCTTACTCCTTGTCGAGGCGACGACCCCGTCCTGTCTGGCTGCTTGGTCTACTTCCTGCCCAAGGTTTGGGTCGACATAATCTCGAAATTGCGTGTGTGTGTGTGTGTCCAGGGAGTTCTGAATTCCGTGTAAGCTTACTTCTCACACCCATATCCGTAAACTTTGAAGTGTATGTAACTTCTACCGTGGCCCGAATCCTACGGGACTAAAATCTAAAATGCCGGATGCCGCACAGTCGATGACAGCCGGAAGCTGCAAAGCCTAAACTAACCCCAAAACTACTAAGAAGCGCAGAAAACTCAGTATGTAAGTGGCGCCATAACTGCGATTACCCTTAATGAGTCAGGGAGCCTGAACCCTAAACCCAAAAAGGCGAAAAAGCCCCCAACCCAACTCCTCGCAGAAGCTTATAGACCGAAACGGTTTTAAACTGTCGGCCGGCAGGGGCAGATCACGAAGGTCGGCAGCCATCCGGACAACCAGATCGCCGCCGGTCCTGCATAGTCCGAACATTCATAGTTTGAGGTTTTCGGGAGGCAAAACCCGAAGCGCTGATCCCAAGCAGCGAAGCCTCGCACTTTCAACTGGAAAACCAGAAGCCTTAAATCACCGAAGACCCATCTCCAATAGCTCCAAACTGGACAGCATTGCTCTCAAAGAGTCACATTGTAGGGTCGAAAAATAATTGCCAATGTGATTCCATAGGACTCGTCAAAGCAATCATGCAGAATGCATCCCGGAACCCTCTTCTAGTTGCCCAGGCCCCTATATTCGAGCCTAGAGTCCCCAGCTCTGAACAAGCATCTTAGTGCTACTGAATTTGAGACCTTACGGCCTAAGGCATGTGAGAGCGAACCTGGCTTTACCATTTTTGACTGCCTCCCTAGGCAGTCAGTGTTTACTTGGACTTTTGGGGTAAGCCCCAAGCGACTGCGGATCCTAGCCAACCTTGGCGAACCCTTGCGGTTGTCATTTAACCGTTTCTACCTTTGAGCGGCCAGGACACAGGGGCTTGTAACAAGACCCCGCAGAAAAGAAGGTTTTAGCAGTTAAACGTGTAGGGTTTAGGATCTTACGCGGCCCGACATCAACACGAAATGTACTTCGGGTCAGTGACCCCCTTCAAGTCACAGCGCCACAAATCAAGAACATGCTATGTCCGTACACTAGCTGCACTGGTCCGGTGGTACGTATCTGTCGCTGTCAGGACTGTAGTGGGCACCCCCCGCCAGGAATGAGCTCAAGACAGCCAGACTTTTTGTGGTGTCTGAGGTTGTAGAGGTTGGGGTTGTTTCGGGCTAGAGTGTAGTTTAAGTTGAGGCTTCCTCCATGCATCCGCGTTCCCGACTTTTTGCATGTCTTTCTTCATGCCTTTGTGATGAGTAGTTGGAGGAGTAATGATTCGCGACAGCAGCGGTGTTTCAGTCGTCGTTATCGCTGTAATGCTGCACTCATGCACCTTTCTGGTTGAAAATCGAAACACCGGCCGCAAAAATGCTTAAGAACTGTATCCCCGAGGTCATCCAGGGCCTTGGTATTTCGAACTTCATCTGCCAGTTTGAGAATCCAGACCAGCGGAATGCGCCTCTGCAACTTCAGACCAGGTGGAATACAACGGCCTTAAGAATTAGAAACGGGTTTTGGGGGGTTCCTTATTATAGTTATAGTGCAGTATACCCCCAAACCCCATAAGACTTAGAAAGGCCCCTACAGTAGGTTCAGGATTTTAGGGCTTTAGTTCCGGATGTGCTCAGGCTTTGAGCTCAGGGCTTCAGGGCTTTTTTTGGGTGCGCAGGGCATTTTTGGGGCCCAGTAGCGCGTAAGGTTTCATGGCTTTTGGGCTTGGTTTGGACGTAAGACTTCCGGGGCTTAGTGAGGGCTGAGGGCTTACACACGTGTTTATGCATACATGTTTTACGTCTTGATAATACATTGATAATCGTCGTTTGTTTGTTTACTTATAATATGTTTAAAAATCGATACACATGTATATGGTTTTCTATGTAGATGCGTATATGCATGCGTACCAATACATATACTGATGCGGCCAGTACGCTTGTTTGACTGAAATGATCTTACTTGCTGAATATCTTTCAAAGGAAATTGGCATAAAAGGCTTCGCAGCCCTAAAAACAAAAACTAAAGCCTAAAACCTGAAGCCCTGACCTCATCGCATCCGCAACCTCAGGCTTAGGGAATGCGCCCCTCCCCAAATGCCGAACCCTAACCCGTAACACGAAGACCCAAAAGCCCAGAGGCCGATACCCTGGCAGGAGGGCTTTTGGTCCTGAAATGACCGAGGTTTGTTAATCGGGTTCCTACATTATGATATACAACACCCCCCGCTTCACAGACCCGTATTCCAAAGGGCTCGGCCTCCACGTTTGGAGTGGCTCAGGTGGTCATATCTCTGCCTTCGGAGTATGTCTCAAGCCGGGCACGTGCGTTATGGCCGCAACGAGGGGTCCTGAAGCCGAAGCCACAGCTGACACCTTGAACCCTGAAAGCTGCACTAACCTTTTGGGTTTAGGGTTTAGGGTTTAGAACCCCGAACCATAAAACACATGCACACACATTATTTGTCGGCTTGCGGTTCAGGGGCGTGAGCTGCAGGATGTCAGTTGCTGGTGTTGCGTTCGGTGCAGTCTAAATACTTTTAGGGATTCTAAACTACACACGCTCCAGAGGAAGCTCACTAAGGCCGACCGGCTATCCTTCGACACCCCCAAAACTCCCATACCCAGTTTTTGCCTAGCCGTAATCCTTACAGCCGTCAGTCCTAAAAAATGCCAAGAACACCTGGTGTGTGTCTCGCACGTGGCTCCCGCGTTCGTGCAAAATGATGTCCCGGTGCTCGAAACAGTGGAAGGACCGCTAGTGGGAACCCCTAGTCATGGAGCAGTCGCACAACTGTTGCAGAAACTCCAAATCGTCAACGCTAGACACTCTGCACACAAGCCCTGTGCCAGAAGTGAAATTAAACCCCAAACCCGAATACTCTGAAGCTCTAAACCCGAAGCCCATAACCCCTGCAAGCTACGTTTCCAACAGTAAGGCGGCCATGCGTTAGCAGGATAGTTGCTATAAGGACATGCAGCACTTGCAACCCCTGTAATAAAACAGTGTTTAGGGTTCAGGTTTTCGGGAGCCTTTCCAGAAACTCTGCAAGATACATACACACATTGAGTTGGAGACCTGATCAAGGTCTTGGTGAATGGTAAACTCCTGGCCAGGGACGAAAGGCTCGGATGGAATTTCATCTGGCTGTTCTTTTTGGTGTGACATGTTGCTACGGTTATGGTTTGTAGAACTTCTCTTTGGGGCGTTTAGGGTCTGAAGGCTTTTAGGGCTTGGAGGCTTTATTCTAGGGCTTTCAGCCTTTCCATTTTGGGCCTTTAGGTTCCTAGGATGAAGTTTACAGAGAACTGCCACTATACATACCTCCACCCAAAAGTAGCACAGTAGCACCTGAAGCAAACATTCGTACCCGAGCCCCGCAACTTCAACCGGCGCGAGACCCAGTGACCAACGAAAGCCACAGCGGTAGTACGCACTAACCATGTGAAAACGAATCATCCCCATCCGCAGTCACAGCCATAATTAAAGGGAGCTCCAGAAAGTTGGAATATGGTTTCAGGGTAGGATCCCCTATAATTTACCTTAAAGGGGTTACGATAGTCATATTCCAACTTTCTGGCTTCTACTGTAGCCCTTGAGCCCCCACAGCCTGCAGGGTCACTTTGCAGCATTTCGATCGGCTGATTTTTGGCAGAGCCTCGATGATGAAGCTGGCGCCAGAGCCGCAAATGCATTAGGGTCTGAGGGTTTGTTTTGGGGTTTTGAGACTTGGGGTTTAAGGCTGAGGAGTTTTTCGGAAATCGTGATGGCGGCATCAGCTTATTATTCCACGTTTGCCGGCGAAGAATGTCAGCCCCATATCCCGAACCCCTGCAGCTTAAACCCGCAGCTTGAACCGACATATAGCCGCAAACCCTACAAGTTATGTCTGTTTATATGTAAGCTGTATATATGTACAGACATGTACATATATATATATATATATATGTACACACTAGTACACACACTGGATGCATCTCACATGTTTGTCTTTCACCCGAAACCCGGAAAGCGGAGAGAAAGCAGACTTCGGATCTGGGATCCCCGAACCACTTATGGCCAAAGCCTGAACTGTCGGGTTCATGGTTTTAGGGTTTAGGTTTTAGGGTTTAGGGTTTAGGGTTCATGTTTAAGGGTTCCGTGAAGGGTTACTCTAATGGTTACTACAACGGCTCCTACAAGGTTTGTCATGAGGTTTGCTAAAAGGGTTTCAGAATTGACGGGTTCAGGGTTTAGGGTGGCGTCGGGGTTCGCAGTGGTTCGGATGTAACGGTTACGGCTTAGGGTCGAAGGGTTTATCGGTTGAGATTTAGCCGGCCTTGGCGGAGCTGAAAGAATGCAGCCTCGAGGGACGTGGTGATGCAAGGAATATTCGGGGCCTATAACATTATCTATACTACTATGGGGATTCCTTATTACAGTTATAGTTTCATATGTCCCGAAACCCTATTCGAATTATTGAGGCCCTTAAAAGTATGTAGGCTATGAGCAGAGTCCTAGTGAGGTAATCACCATTTGGGTAACGAGCTTAATGGAGTTGTCAAGTCCTGCGACCATTCATGACAAACTGGTGGTGCTTATGTTTTGTTGAGGAATACAACATCTTGACCGGATGATGAGGGGGCAAACCCTACGATCAGGGTACGCAGACTTGCAAAGCACACTCCGGCCAAGGGTTTAGGGTGTAATTAATTAAGGAGTTTTCCAAATATCATATCCCTACCTCCAGACTCTCAATCCTCCGGCTAAGTGCTAAACTGCTCATTAATCTCTGAGCCCAAGCAACCCAACCCAAGCCCTCATCGGGGGGTGCACGGATCTGTCGACGAAAGCTGAGGTGATTCCCCTGGAGCAGCAGGACCTGAGTCTATCAGGTCAAGGTTTTCGGATGAGTCTGTGGAGGGCTCAAGAGGCGTAAAAGGGATTTCATATAAGCCCAAAGCCGTAAACCCTAAGCGCTAAACCCCTTATAGCCCTATGGGCATTCCCCAGTAACCTCGTGTTGCAGGAGAAAAGGAGCGACAAAAAAAAAACCTTATAGCAACCCTTAGAGAAGCCGTTAAACGACGACTGAACGGCCTTTAACCCGAAGTCTTCTGCGAGGACCTGGCAGCCACCAAAACTGATGAGACGGCGCTCTCGGACGACAACGACGACGATGACGGCGACAGTGGGCCACCAGTTCCTCGGAGATTCCTCTGAATGCCTCAAGAGGCTGTAGAATTATGAACCCCCGTAAAGGCACACTAAACCTTCTAAATCCTGCTAAACCCCTAAAGCCCCATGTGAAAAGCCGAGGTAAGAAGTCGTCGGTCGATGCTGAAACACGACACCCTCAAGCTGCTGCTGCCCAACGACAGCGAAGCCTGGAGCCTTTCGCCAGAGGGTTCCTTTAAGGGCTCCGTTAATAAGCATTCCTTTAAGCATTCCTTTAAGGGTTCCCTTGAAGGGTTCCTTTAAAGGGTTCCTTTAAGGGTTGCTCTTCAAGGGGTTTATGGTTTCAGGGTTTAGGGTTCATGGTTGGAAGGGTTTCACGGTTTTCAGAGTTTGAGGGTTTAGGGATTGAAAATTTCGTTTTTTGGATCTGTGTTTGTAGTGTTGTTTATTCCTCAAAGATGTAATTCGCAGTTGATTGGGATTTTCAGGATTCCTACAAAGGCTACTAGAAGGGCTGCTGGGACTACATAGCCGTGTTGATCATGGTCCACAAAGTACGTGTAGAGCCTCTAGAGCTTCTTGGGGTTCTAGGCAAGGGTTCAGGGTTCAGGGTTTAGGGTTTAGGGGGTTTCTAGGGTTTGCATGGTTTAGGGCTTTGGGTGTCTCGGGTGTCGACAGTCTAGAGTCCAGGGCTCAGGCAGTTGCGTTTGGAGTTTTGGCTCCCGGAGGAGCATCTTGGAACAATAGGGGAGTTTCCGAAAATAGGGGACCCTAATGTAGTACCCTATTGAGTAGGATCCTTATTATAAGAAGCCCCGAATAAGGTACCCCCCAAATTTCGGAAACTCCCATATAGGTCAACACTTTCGACAAGTCCTTCAACAGCACACTCAGCCCCAACCCCAAACCCCAAAACCCCAACACCCAAGCCCCGAAACCCTAAATCCTCAAGCCCGAAACCCCAAATTGAGCGCGCGCCGGCTGGCACAAGCAAGACCGTGCAAAAAAAACCGAAACCCCGAAACCCCCAACACACCCCCCGAAGCCGCAGGAGCGAGCTGCGCCTTTACTTCGGCGATCTCCAGGCTCGCCTGGGCGAGGAGCGCGGCAACGAGTTCTTCTACCACCTGAGCAAGGCCGGCTCGCGGGGGTTTAGAGGGCTTAGGATTCCTTGAAAGGGATCTATAAGGGCTACTATAAGGGCTACTATAAGGAGATCTATAAGGGGCTCTAGGGGTTAAGGCCGGTGTGATGGGTCGCAAGCAACAGCTCAAGACCCTTGCAGCACTTGATCTAGGCAGATTCTGTCAGTAGTAACTGTCAGTAGCTCTAAAATGTACCAGTACCCTAGTGAAGACCCTAGCCTCCCGAAACCGTGAAGGCGAGTCACCTCGTGGACGAGGCCAACGAGATCACCACGGAGATACGGCCGGAGGACAGGGGAATCAGGTGTTCATTTACGGTGGGTTACTGTAGCCCTACATGCCAAGCCCTAAAGCCTATCAGCCTCAAACCCTAACCTACTAATCAACGGTGTAGTACAACGGTAAAGTAAGGGTTCCCTTGTCGAAACCTTTACAGTGTCCTTAGAGTCACCCTGAATGGAACACCCCTATTTTTCGGCTCTTGGCTGCTTGCTTTCAGAGTCAAGGATGTTCATTGATCGGACGAATGGATGCCTGAAAATTTCGTAATAATATACGACTATTCCTGAGGGTTCCTTACTATAACTATGGTATAATATACCCGCGTCAAGCGCCCATTCTGATCATTCCGTCCCGTGCATGTCTGTAATTCATTCTTGCGCCTGCCAATTCTCTGGATGTGGCTCGGAAAAACAGACCGGAAACAAGCAAAACGAATTACAAACGAGATTGTAGGTGTGGTTTGGGAATCTGGTGGTTGATGAACGGCAACTGTTTGGCATTCACGACACTGACTTCGCATCTGGTGGTGATGCTGATGACTTACCCTAATATAGGGGCCTGAATAATTGGAATAATAAGGAGCCCCCAAAATAGTATTGGTAATTAATTAATTAGGCCCTTATAGTAGACCCGAAAGAATGACCCCAACCGGCTAAACTTGAGACACAGGAGCCCCAAACCCCAACCTAAAAGCTCGCACTAAATTTTCTCCTGAGACCCTTCGGCCAGACACCCTTAGATCCTAAGATCTCAATCTAAATCTTGCCCCGCCAGGCCCTGATACAGTAGCCTTAAACGTCAGCAACCTTGCACCAGAGACAGTGTAGTCGACACACTAGAAGGCTACATCGCCCTGTAGAGAGGGTGTAGAGAGTCTCCCTGCCAAAAGCAAATCATAACAAAGAACAGCGATGCTGCGTAACATTTTACCTTACCCCTACAGCAGTAGCCAGAAAGTTGGAACATTATTATCATTATTCCCTTAAGGTAACGAAGAGGGAATCCTAGCAGTAATCATCCTAAATCCATGTTCCAACTTTCTGGGGTTCTATAATGTGTGCGGTGACGTTTTTTGAACAAGTGGAGGGCGGCCACACCGCCGTGGCCGCGGAGGTGGTATAAAAGTCGTGTCCAACATTTTTCACCTTTGACAACCACAGGGGTCATCATTGTAAATAGACTTGGCGACCCGGCCCCGACGGCCAGGATGGCGGTATTTAGATCTTTGAAGACCTGCATGTTTAAAATCGTCGCCGCGTAATCCCGAAAGGTAAGAATGCTTGAAGCTTGCAGCAGGATCGTCTGAAGTTCGAAGTGGAGCTTGTTTGGGACATCCACCGGCATGTGGATGCCCGAGCATCGGGTTTTGGTGCATAGGGAGCCACAGAGTTCTACAGCTCTAAGAGGGGTCCAGGGTTTCGGACTTCAGTTCTTAAGGCTTCAGTTCGTGGGGATTATAGAAGACTGTGATGTTTCTGCAGAGGTTTACAAGAGGGTGGGTGTTTTGTCCGCTAGGGCTTCCGGGGTTCAGGGGAGGGCCCGTCTTGTGCAGTTTGGAGCGGTTCGTTCGAAGCGTCTGATATTAGTACTTCTCTCGTTCTTCTTGGGGGGGGAGGTTTGAAGTTTGCAAAGTGTTTTCAATACGAGAGTCTGACTCGCAAGCAGCTTCGGATTGCTTTCCTCTGCGGGGCGGTCACTCTTCGGATGGAACTTGGATTGCGGGACCGAAGGACGATTTGGTGTAGAGGCGAGCGGAACTCGGGTTTTCTGCCCGACAGCGCAGCAGTAGATGCTTGAAGCAATGGAAACCGGGAGCCCAGCAGCTCCAAATCTGTGTTTACGCTTCGGAGCCAACAGGTTATTTATAGGCTACTTTAGGTGCATAAACCTGTCAAAGAGGTGCATTTGCCCGTGTTGATTGCTTGTAAGTAGTTTTGATGGAATTACTGGCGCAAGCTTGCTGAAGCCTAAAGCCTGAAGCGTGACGGTTGATTTCAGACCCTCAGCCCGAGACCCTAAACCCTAAACCCTGACCTCCAAAGCTGACAGCTCCAAGGTTTCAGACATCATCCTCATCCGTGCTCTTCGGCTGGCGCAAAGCCAGGAGCCGACTGTGCTTTCGTACTGGACGCAACTCGACCGTGATTTTTTGTAAGTTACTAGAAGGTTACTATAGGGTTTCTATGTAGGGTCTCCATGTTTTTGTAAATTATAAGGGTCCAGTGTTTGTCGCGCTGACACACTCGCAGAAACCAGGCTTGTTCCTTTTATGCTAAGGGTTTGGGTAAGTATGTGTATATATGGACATATATTTGTATATATATATATATATATATATATGGGCGCACCCCTATTTGGGGTCCCCTACGTTTTTCGCTATACCATCTGACTCGGCATCTGACTCGGTTATAACCACCAGACTAGGTTATAACCAGCCGACTAGGTTATAATCAGGTGTACGTCATCGACTACAGTATTATATCCGGTTTGAAGACCATGTTTTCAGGATGCTGAAACCCGCACAACGCTAAGAATTCTATGACACCTTCGTCGAAACCCTGTTGCAATGTGCTAAAATCCTTGCTTTGAAGCCGTCGATATATCATCGTAGTTCATGTTTGTGTGACTGTATCTAAACCGCTGTATTTCAGTTTTTTCCAACAAGCGCGCTGTAGTCATTAGTCTGGTTCAGTCATTCCTTATCGCGAACTAGATTTTGCAACGAAAAGTTTTCCACCTAACAGTTTAAGTCGCGAATTTTGTTTCGCTCACCATGCATATTCTTCTCAGTTTTGTCTCGTCGAAATCCGGCTTCCTTGGAACGATGTTTGAACAAAACGTTGCAACCAGTTCGCCTATGTACGAAGTGATGAAACCTGACCACGCTGTAAAAAATGAAATGCTGTCTCTCCCTACAATGACGTCGTATCAGCCGTATCTCAACTTTCTATGTACCGTGATATTCCAATGTTGACAACACTTACTGACCTACTGTAATCCCGATAGAGCCCCTTCATATTCCGCATTTTGATTCCTGCGTGAGTGACATGTTAGCGGCTATTCTCTCAATGTGTACATAGATCTCATAAACCCGATGTACTGGAACGGACAGACCATTCTGTAAAGTCGCCATATAGCCTTTCCGCTAAAGTTGGGGAATGCGCATATGGTCCCCGGAATTATGTTTGTTATAAAGCACTGCATCATGCCTCAACAACCGAATACACGCCAATTACCTCGGACCCTCTATTCTTCTAGTCCTTGTGTAATTTCATTGCGGTTACATTCACCCTGAAACACCGAAACTTTCGAACGTTTGGATTTAGGTGTTGATGAAGTACTGTAGCGGTGGCACAGGCCTGGTTATAACCTCTGTCCCCGGTTATAACCAGGACACCTGCGTAGTAGGCAGCCCTAGACCCATCACTAAACCATTAAACCATTAACAAACCGTTAAATTAGTACACCGTTAAACAAATCCTTTGCCCCAACGGACCCAAACCAATAAACCATTAAACCATTAAACCAATCCTTTTGCCCCATCCAGCCCCATCCACTAAACCATTAAACCATTAAACCAATCCCCTTACCCCATACCACTAAACCACTAAACCATTAAACCATTAAACCAATCCTTTCCCCCAATGCACTTAAACCACTAAACCATTAAACCATTAAACCAATGCTTGCGGCCCATACAGGGTTGTGTCTCTCTCTATAGGGGCAAATGATTGGTTTAATGGTTTAATGGTTTAGTGGTATGGGGCAAAAGGATTGGTTTAATGGTTTATTGGTTTGGGTCCATTGGGGGAAAGGATTGGTTTAATGGTTTAATGGTTTATTGGTTTGGGTCCTTTGGGGGAAAGGATTGGTTTAATGGTTTATTGGTTTGGGTCCACTGGGGGAAAGGATTGGTTTAATGGTTTAATGGCTTATTGGTCTGGGTCCATTGGGGGAAAGGATTGGTTTAATGGTTTAATGGTTTATTGGTTTGGGTCCATTGGGGGAAAGGATTGGTTTAATGGTTTAATAGTTTAGGTGTGCAAAAACCCAGGGGACCCCATATAGGGGGGTACCCATATATATATATATATATATATATATATATATATAGATGTATAGACATATGTATATAATATGTATATATATATATATATGTATATATATATATATATAGAGAGAGAGAGAGAGAGAGAGAGAGAGAGAGAGAGAGAGAGAGAGAGAGAGAGTTGAGAGAGAGAGAGAGACTCTGCGTGTGTACGTGTATGTATGTGTGTGTGTGTGCGCGTTGAGGATTTATGGACTCTGACCCGGGCCGTTAAGATTACAGAGGCCCCCAAAGGCCCCCAAAGTTTACCTAAAGCAGCCCAAAGCTTCCAAGGGTGGCGAGCTTCCGCCAGCGCCTGGAGGTGATGAGAGACTGCGCCCTGGCTCTTGCAGAAGCGGTACAGGGATGATATGGGTTTAGGGTGTATAGGGTTCAGGTTTCAGGGTTTAGGGTTATGATGTGGATTTAGGATGTACGGGGTTTAGGTTTCAGGGTTTAGGGTGTAGGCTTCGGGGTTCTGACTGTAGCTATACTCTTCGATATGTCCGAATATGACTGCATTGAAGCTATGGGGCTTCGGCTTGCAGGTTAGATGTTGTATCAATTATGCTAAGATGCTACATGCCCCGCAACTACCAGAAAGCTTACCAAGTTTTAGTAGTAGTTGGACGATGAACAGCTGCGGCGGACCCTAGACAACGTTAACCCTAAAACGCCCCAAAGGCCACAAACATCCGAACCGCCTTACTTCAGAGGCCTAAAGACTGAAAGCCGTGAAACCTTCAAACATATGGACGCTTAGGGGGGTAGGGGGCCTTAATCCCCATAATAAGGACCTAATAAGGCTTATTTAAGGAAGTATGGTCCTCCCCCTTAGCCCCGTAAGGGTCCCTATGATTCACGGAAGACTATTTGCTCTACAGCCCTTGAGCCTCTAAGACCCAACTCCCAGAAGACCCACCGAAAGGCCCCAAAACCGCGCTCTGAAGCCTAAGCCCAAAGCTTTAAGTAAAGCCGAAGCAAGTTGTAATACTATTGTTTACGGCTCGTTTCCCTGAGCACTAAATCCTCAACCCTACGCCGAGGCTACGATGCGTTTTGCTGTCAAGGGCATTGGCCTGGAAAGGGCGATCCGCTGGAGGACGCAATATTGTAATTCAGTGATTTTCACGGAATCTTCCAGTTTGCACTAGAAGGGATGAAGCGGTTGAACCCAGTATCTTTCCAAGCTCGGGCTCTCACGATGTGTCATCAACACATCCACCGCACTTGCAAAAGAATGCTAGCAAACGTTAGTGACTTGCGAACAGCGACCATAGAGTATAAAACACATTAGAAGCCCAACGCCACCATGATCCATTCAGTTTTCTGTACAATGCCACATGCATGATCATACACTATACACCACCCCCGCAACCCTATTCGTAGTAGTACCATCAGCTAACCCTGAACCCGAACCCTAAGCCAACAAAGGTTCTGAACCTCAACAGTAAACGCCTCTAAGGGTTGCTACAAGGCTTCTTTTGACAGTTCCTTGAAGGGCTACTACAAGGCTTCCTAAGCGTGGCTGCACGACTTCCTTTACGGGCTCCTTTCAGGGAAACCCCAAAGCCTAAACCCTGAGCTCTAAAACCTGCGGAGGATCCGTGGATCGATGCGTCGACTGTGGAGCTCACGCTGCAGTAGCTCGGCTTTCGCGTCCGAGGGTCGAAGTGAGAGGCTGCAACCAGCCGGCTCGGAGTTCATGAGAGGGTACCTACACGGGACCCGTCCCTTTCCTACGCCCTAGACCCTAAACGTTAAACCCCTAAACCCTAGTTGCTAACTACAGAGAAGAAGAAGCCCCGTACTCCCTTGGGGGATTTTGGCTCTTGGCTACCCCCGGAGCCTCGACGACCGAAGTCTACATGGGTAGTTCTCTAAATTGGTGTCCCTCTTAAGGGTCCTCTTCTATAAGGACCCAGACAGGGACCCCAATGTAGAGAGCCGTAGAAACCCAGGGGTCCTGATGCCTCAATCCAACGCCCTAGACTTTGAGCACTGCCCCCACTCAGTCACAGACTATATTCACAGTGAAAGAAACAGTAGGACCCTCGTAGTAGCTCTGGTATGGACTGACCTAGACTCCTGAAGCCCTAAACTCCAAGCTTCGAGAATTTTCGGGGCCAATCTCGTCCGGCCACAAGGCTACATACCAATGCAGAGGAGCAGCTGCACCTGGAGGACAAAACCCACATACCTCTAAGGCCTAAAACCCTAAACCCTATAAGCCCTAAGCCCTACACCGTACTACACCGTATTAGCCCGAAGCCCTAAACCCCCCGAACCCTAAACTCTAAAGCCTAGGCTACACCTTCTGTTCCAAGCTCTGCGCTCAAAGCGGTTGGGGGCTTTTCGGCCTTGAGGGTTTAGAGGGCCTAAGGGCCTAAGGGTTTTATTAAGGGTTTTAGAGTTTTGAAGGTTTTGGAGTTTGGGGTTTGTAGTAGGGTCGACTTTCTTAGGCCCCAAGTCCGAAAGTCTCGTTCTGTCAATTTTTCAGGCGCCCGACGCCGCGTAGCGGTCCAGGCAACAGCTTCAAGCCTCAACAGCCCCAAGATGCAGCTTTGAATCCCGACAAGGCTTTGCCCACCTTCAGCTCCCCGGTTTAGGGTTTAGGATCTAGGGATGTCAATCTTAAGCTCCCCAACCCTCAACTCCCAAAACCTCAATTCAAGGTTTAAGGTTTGACGTTTCCAAACGTTCAAACTCGAACTCCAAACCTCACAAGGATGTGGGAGAACTCTCGTGGTGGGTGGTGGGACAGGTCCTGGGAGCAGGGCGACAGTGCCCAGTGGGATGATGACATGTCCTGGTCGCAGGGCGCTGAGCGGGACGACGAGAACGCTGCCACCGCCTATGAGCAGCAGAGCGACGGCGACGCTGCCACCGCCTGTGAGCAGCAGAGTCAGAGAGACGCTGCCACCGCCTATGAGCGGCAGAGCGATCACAGCGCTGCGTCTGTCATGCTGGTGCCGGAGTTCGACTCCAATTGTTCTGGCACTGCCGGCGACTGGAACGCCATGAATTTTGTGAGTGTGAATAAGAGATCCAGAAACTCCATTGCTTCCGGGAATCCTGCCGTCTGGCCAACCATCTCTGATCAAGGAGTTTCGGTCTAGGAGGTGATTCCTGTGGATTATGTTGTAGAGCCTAACAGAGTAGCATAATGTTTCATGTTTGGATCAAATATCGTAGCCCATGACAGATTTCTATGGCTGCTATGGTGCCTCGTCACCTCATAAACGAAAAGCCTACAGCCTGTAAACCTAATTTGAGGGTGCTATCAATCCATCCCGAGTTAAGCGTGGCAGGACATTCGCCGCAGCCTGTTGGATGCGAAGTTAGAGACGCAGACGAACCCAGGAACAGGTGCGGGAGAGTTCAAATTCGGATCGCTTTAAGAACCTTGAGGACTTTCGGGGACCGAGGTAGTGCAGGAATTTGAGCACGTTACCAAAGTACTTCCTATGAGAACGAGCTCTGACCCTAAAACCGAAAGCCGCATCCGCATCACTTGACCCAGGAGCTCCCAAGCCCCCTTGGTGTCGCATCCCTCATGAACAACCCTATTGTACTAGACACGTTGCGGAGCGCTCCTCAAGAAAGGGCTCCTGTAATTCTCCTGGGCACGATACAGGGGTCTACCTATATCCTCATCTGGACAGTAGCACCTTTCTGTGGAGAACTTACCTTTCGGTTAGAGAAAACCAGGCAACCCCAAAACAGCACTGCATTCTAGAGTAAGAAAAATGCAAGCAATCTCCACTGTCTTCCTCCGTTTGACACTTGCGGTTCGGGTGTAAGGTCCCAGGGAGATAGTCTGAGCCTAAAGCTGTTTGGAGGTTAGGGCTTGGCGTTTACGGTAACACTTAGTCGTAGTCGTACTACACCCAAGAAAAGGGTTCTGTGTGAGCGAGAAAGAACCGACCTGACATCCCAAGCTGTCCTACAGCCCTCAGCCCCAACTCCCTAAAGCCTTAAGTTTGGGTTCACCCAGCCTACAAAATGTAGTACCATGGAGAGCCTGCTTTATGGATAAGCTTTCGGATCGGATCTTAACATGTTAACACCCGAAACCCAAGCCCCTTAAACTCAAAATAAAGCCCTAAACCTTAAATGGGGCTTAAATAAGGCTCTAAACCCTAAATCAAGCCCCATGAACCCTAAAAGTCAACCTACAGCCCTGAACCTTAGAAGCAGAGATCCACTTCGACTCCTCCCTCGCCCCCCAAAGCATCCCCGGCCAGAAAAGTCGACGACTCCGAACATCTCGCGGCGGAGCAGCGGGCGCCTGGGAACAGGCCAGTGCTCCTTAGAGTATTGAGTTGCTTTGGCGGACCCTAATCCCTAAAGTCTCCTTCTGTCACTTCGCTAGGTGCGGAGAGTCGGAAAAGGAGCACATATTACAACCATGGGTACGTATCTCAAAAAAGAAATAAACATGTACATTTTTAATCCTATCCCAACGATGAAGTAGGTGATATTAATATTGAAAATGTTAACGACGACGAGGGCGGTCATGATCCGCCAGCCATCTTTCGAAGCTTCATCCCGGAATGTTGAACGTAGCTTTCCCAAAGAAGCCTAACTTTCACCACAAACCCCGGGCTCTAAGCCTCCCCCGAGTCGCTGCAGGTGCTTTGACCACTCCCAGCGTCTCCCGGCAGAGCAGCAAGCGACAGGGCTCGATCCAGTCGGTGAGCTCAGGCACAACCTGGTCCTTCGGGTTAGAGGTGTTCTTTGAGGGTACTTAGGGTTTAGGGTTTAGGGTGTCAGGTTCCTATAAGGTGCCGTTAGAAAGTATCGCTTGCTTGGGCTTTAGGGCTCAGTCCGGGTACAGGGCCCCAAGCTTCAGGATTTAGGTTTAAGACTCGGGATGCTTCAAGACCAACCATACTCAGGCCTCAATGAAGATGAGAGCCTTTGTCTATAACTGCAACAGCATGGAGCCCAAAAGGGGGCTGGTTTCGGGTCGAGGATGATGCCTAAACCCTATAAGCCATGAGTTGCTTAGGTTTAGGGGTTGGCATCAAGGGTTAAGTTTGGCGGGTAGAGTTCATGGGACATCAGCGAATGGGCTTTGGGGCCGTTGGATTCTCTGAGACCCTTCAGCTTTCAAACTTGGCGCGGGTGCGGAGTTCCAGGGCTTGGGTGTCTTAAGCCTTGACATGGAACACCATCCTGATTAACAGACCCCTGCTAATGGCCGGCAGCCTTTTTGTGAGTACTAAGGGTGTATTAAGAAACCCCGAATGCACTTTTATACTCCCTCTACTCCCTAAACAAATCTAAAGCCTAAACCCAAGAAGCACGACTATAAACCTTAAACCAGATCTCCGTTTCTGTTTCGACCACCGGATCCAACCTCGCCCGTCCCAGGCTAAGGGTTTCGGTTGAGGGCTTAGGGTTTAGGGTTTAGGGTTGAGGGGTTTCGGGTTTAGGGCCTAATTGCAGCTTCGGGTTGAGAGTTTAGGGTTGAGGGATCAAGTTTAGCGTACCCTCCCTTCACAAGAAGAAAAAAAGTGACGCCCTGAAGCCCAGAAAGCCTTCAACATGTCTCTGGCCACTGCCCCAAGTATTATTGTAGTATCCTTAAGGGAGGGGGGTCCAAGGGGGGTATATGGCCTAGTGATCCCTAATCCTCCCTAGTACTCCCTAAGGTTCCCTTACAGTCCCCTAAGGATTCCTTATACCCTCCCCCCTTGAACCACCCTCCCTTAAGGATCCTATAAAAGTATCCCAAACCTTAGCTTCCAGCTAGCTTTCAATCTGCAAGCTTCAACTGATGAACACTCTCCCTGAGAGTCCCTATCATCACTACGGTATAACATAGATCTCAGACCTCAAACCCTATTCTGATTTTTTCAGGCCGTTTGAACGAAACTGTGAAGGACATGCTCAGCAGCCCTATGAACCGCATAATATGGGAGCTGCACCAAGTGCGCCAAAAGGCGCTGACTCACTTCCAAGGCTGTTTTTACCAAATGGGAGTTTCCGAAAATAGGGGACCCTAATATAGGACCCTAAATAGTAGGATCTTTATTATAAGGAGCCCAAAATAAGGTACGCCTAATTTTCGGAAACTACCAAATGAGTCCTCGGAGCATTTCAGGATCTGCCCCCAAGCCCATGCTTCGCCGGCTGGTGCAGATGCACTCGGGTGGAGACTCAGACGAGAAGCTGGGCAAGGCGCCAGCAGAGCCAGATTCGCTTTGGGCGAGTTGGCGAGTTGAAGAGCCCACCGGAGCAGGCGTATCTGCAATGGGAAGGGCAAGAATGACAGACGACGAGCTCGGCAGGAGTTGAAGCAAGCTGCTCGCTGTACTTCTCACATGAATGTTGAGTTACAACTAGCTGCTGACCTGAACCCATAGCTAAGCGATGCCAGAAGCCCTCATAAAGCTCCCCTAAAGAATATAAAGCTCCCTGAAAGAAGCCCTAAAGAAGACGACGACACCGATACAAACCTGTAAAGCTAGACCCTAGACCCCAAGGCCTGAACACGAAGCCCTAAACCCCACTGTGCAGGGCGGAGCTCGCAGAGGAGCTCGCGACTAGGTCATGGGCAAGGCCGAATCGCAGCTTTTTTGTTATAGGTGTCTAGGGGTTAGGCTTCAGGGTCTACGGCTTAGGGATATTCTTAATCGCCCATACTAGAAGCCTACTTGCGAAATCCCCCGACCCCGCTGTTATGAGCCACACTCAGCGCACAGAACGTACTTTCGGCGGGTTCCTATGAATTCCCACTTATGATAAGCCCGAAGGCTATAGTTCAAGGTAGGATGTTTCTAGGCATATGGTGGTACGTAGTTTCGGGTTCGGGATATGCAGCAGTCACAGTGTCCCTTAATACGGCTTGTATGAGGCTCAAATTTAACGTATTATGATACAGGGTGTTGGAATAGTTGGTACTGGTAATGCGTGTCCTTATTTTGCTTGTAGAACAATACGAGCTAGCCCCCAGCACCTTATTCAGTTTATTCAGCACCCTTATCAGATGAATCCCGAACCCATTATTCAGGGCCTAGGCTTGCTGCATCTTCCCAGTGGCCATACATAGGGTCAAGTTTGGATTCAGGACCTTTTTCCTGTTTCCCCGGGCCAGAAAGAAGTGACTCTCCGATTTTGAACCGTATGAGTGATGAGGAGCGTTAAGACGGACGGACCCTTGGAAGTCAGCCCTAACTTTGAGAGGTGATGGCTCAGAAAAAAAGCTACATGATTGTAGACCTGTGCCGTACGATTCCCTTGCCAATTCTGCCAAGAAGACTAGGCTTTTCGGTGGTATGGGTAGAGCCAATGGCCGGGAAGCTATGAAGCACGATAGTATAGAACTGTGTTCAATATCAATGCATTCCCTCAGGGTCGTCTAATGGTAGTCGTAATAATCGTATAATCTACCCCAAAACTCTGTTGAAACGCATCAATACTATTAAGGTTTCAGAGTCCAGGCACACCAGAGGATTCTTACTTGCATAAAGTCGAAATCGTGCTAGAGGGTTCGTCTGTATTTAGATAGGTTGAACAAACATGTGCGAATGAAGCTCTTAGATTTCAATCCATTAAACCCTAGCCGTAAATCGGTGATTTTCGAAGTGAACAGAACAGAAACTTCCCCTTGATTTCAGGCGGCAGCGCGTTGGGTAAGCTAGGCGCGAGAATGACTGGGGAAGGGAGAGGGTTTGCATCTTCTCGACATGATATGGGGGTTTTTGGGGCCTCACCATAGGCACACTTTTAACAACCTCACCACTTCACACAGCCTTGCGGTGGTAGTGTACTGCAGAATCCCAGTCTAACTTGGTGAATCCCTTCAAACTTCTTTAGAACGGCATATCATGTATCAACATCTTCTAGAGCCTGAAAGTGTGAGGAGGCTTATAATCCTTGGCAATTCAAACCGGCACTCAAAACTTAAATCCTAAACCCTGGTAGCATGGCTTATAAATCGGCGCTCTGACACGGACCTAAGAAGGACCTCACCTGAAGCCCAAGTTCTTAAGACTGGCTCTGCCCCCAGTGCAAGCACTTGAACGATTCGGATAGGTGGTGTGGCCATTGCAGACCAACTGAATTTGAGAAGGTTTATCAACAGCAAATCTCAAAACCTTGAACCCCAAACCATAAACCCAACCCTGAATCCTAAACTCCACACCCTCAACTCTAGACTCTAGACCATAAGCCGATAAACCCTAAATCTTAGGGATGATTCAGCTCAGTTGCCATCTGACAATGTGGGGGTTTCCGGAAATTGGGGATACCTTTTTTTGGGGCCCTTATAATAAGGATCCTGCTATACAGGGTACTGTATTAGGGTCCCCTATTTTCGCAAACTCCCATGTCTGAGTCTTCATCGCACAGGGTGGTCTTGGGGATTCTCAGGATTTGAGTATATGGGTTCAGGGTCTTGGCCTGGGGTTTGGGGGTTTAGGGTGTGGTTTGTGTAATTTGGCATGCTGGTGAGTGTACGTAAGGATCCGTAGAATATCGGCAAGTACGCTGTGAGGGGTGTTGATATGGGCCAGCACCTGTGATAAATAAGCAACACTTCATTTCGATGGACTCACTCAGGTTTAAGCAGGGTTACAAACAAGACAGCATCCGCTAAGGGGGCCCGAGCCCTAAATGCACCCGACTTGCTGAATTCCATGATGCCTCAGGTACTTGAGAGGTTCCGAGTATATTGGAGTAGGACCAGGCTCAACTTGAATCGTGGCCGCAACAGAATCTCTAAAGCCGAACCCTCTACACCCTTACTAAATCTACAATCCCATACAGTACTGTCCAGAGGTTGACGGAGAAGATAGAGACCATGGAACGCCAAGTAGCTGTGCAGCAAGCAACACCGCCAAAAGTTGTGGCGTACTTTGTAAGCCTTAACACACAAGTCATAAATTTGGAGATGCAGATCATGCCCCTACGCCCGTCACATGGTTCGAAGGCCGTCGTGGTTTCAACCGATATGTGGCCTTGGACGGCGGGTCCTGCGGGACAAGTGAACGAGCGCCCGGTACTGCGAGGACGCAATGTGGCACCGGAGGCTCAGACTTTGGGGCGGCATAGCTCTTGCCCGAAGCCCCGAGTGTCAACCCTTGATTTTTGGGTTTTTCGGGCGCCAGGGGGCCGAGTGCAAATGGATGCGGTCTCCCGCGCAACCCAAGTGGTACTCGAGTTTGTCGCGTCGCACGAAAACGACACATGTGCTGCCATCGACGCATTGAAGCTTATGACGCTGTTGCAGGGCGGCCATCTGGCAGTTTCCGAAAATTAGGGGTACCATATTTTGGGGTCCTTATAACAAGGATCCTGCTATTTAGGGTGCTATATTAGGGTCTCCTATTTTCGGAAACTCCCATCTGAGTGCGAGATTTGGACTGGGCACCTGTCCCCTCGTGCAAGACATCCAAGGCCTGGGCACAGGCCACGGTAAAAGCCAGGCAAGGTCTGAGCAACTAGTACGAATCTTCCTTACAGGCCGTAGATCATACATCGTAGAAGAATTACCCCACACTCCTAGCTTGTGAAGGTCCTCATTAATTTTAAGCCCCTGACTTCGAAACTCGAGACCTCAAACCGTGTTTCTTCATTTCTCCGCCATGAGGCGATGAGCCCGGCCCGCCGAACAGCGCCCGGGGCAAGCGGCCACCAGGTGGGATTGGTGAGGGCGGAAGTTGCCATAGTGGTAGTTGTGGAGTTGGTGGTGCTACGAATATAGTGGTGTAGTGGTAGTAGCAGTGGTGGTGCTTTGGATATTGGTATATTGGTAGTAGTGCTAGTGGTAGTTGGAGTAGCGGTGATGTCGATTAAAACGTGTCTTTCGTTTTTTTCGCCTCAAGGCTGAGAGCAAGAGAGAGGCCAGTGAAGACCCGTCACCGCACCAATGTAGTTTCATTCGTCCTACACCCATCACTCATCCGTCATCTAATCCTCATACATACAACTACGCAGATTTCAAGCAGCCAGCATCAGTAATGTCCTGGAGCTGTTTGCGCTGCCAATCGAAGACATGCAGACGTCCGCCCGACAATTTCTGCAAGATGTTCTCGAACTGGTCAGCATGATCGCTTGATTCCACGATGTCATCTGAGCCAAAAACGCTTGTGCATACCACTGTGATTCCGATAAGCTTATAGAAGCCATCAAAGCCTTTAGGCTTGAAAACCCTACAACCCTGAAGCCCTGAACCCTTAAAACCCCAAGACCCTGAAGTCCTGAAGTCTCAAATCCTAAACCCGAAACTTCGCCCTCAACCTCAAACCCTATAAACCCCTGGTGCCCTTGTATAGCAACTCGTAAAGGAGCCCCAAATCCTAAACCAGAACGTTCATGGGCCCTGAGTTGCTAGGCGAGGAAGGACACTCCAGGGCTTCCAGCAAAACCTCCACCAACGGAGGCAGTGGGCTTTGTATGGTTTCGAGTTCAGGGTTTCGAGTTGGTTCAGGGCGTTGTGGTTTTACGGAATCGGGTCCTATGGTGTTTAGAGCTTATATAAGGCGGTGAAGTACTGGTGCGTCTAAAGATCGGTCGTGTCCATGCTAACAGCCAATCCGCCTAGGTGACAGAACATCGGGGTCCAATTCAGAGATCATGCTGTCTCAGGTATGCATCACGTGTCGCTTATGGTGCGATATCCAGGTGCAGTGTGCGAAGAAGAGAATTGAATGTGGTTTTAGCAGGAAACCACTGCATGGTGTAAGACAGTTGCCGAAAGCTTTGCTTTCTGCACCCCAACTGGTCAACGCCCTGACCTCAAGTCCTTGGCCCTCAAAGCCAAACGTCACATCCCCAAAACTTCCTGTCTCCAGGACCCTAGCCCTAGATTTAACTCCTAAACCCTAAGCCTTAAATCCTATTAAACCCTAAACCCTAAATGCTGCAGAACCCCAAACCCTAAATTCTATACACCCTATACCCTAAATCGTAAAACCTAAATCCTAGATCCTATAAGCCTTAAACCCTAAATCCCATGGACTACGCACAAATCGAGAAGTGTACCAAGTCTTTCGACCTCTGCTCCTGTGGAGAAAGGGTCAGTGCACAATAAAAACATCCTATGGACCTTAAACCCTAAATCCTATGCACTCGAAGCCCTAAACAATAAACGAGGTGTGCCTCGGCTCACCGTGCCGCCGCGGCCGCCGCTTGGCGCTGAACCCCATTCGGAGCCCTAAACCCATACAGTAGAAGCTCAAAACTTGGAAACCCCATAGCCTCAATCCTCAAGAGTACTGTATAGGGACTCCCAGCTCCATTTGGCCTTAATCCGGTTTCCAACTTTATGGGGTTTGCCACAAAGCCCCGAGCCTTGAATTTTCGTAAACGTTTCAAAGAGCCTAAAGTTCCTAAAGCTCCTAGCCCTAATTTTGTCTGTCATAGTTGGGTAACATTTTACATTTTTTATGGGTGCTTAAACCCAAGAAGGAGTAACAAAGTATATTTTTAAATCATAGCCCAACGATGAAGTAGATTTATCCTACAAGCCCTTTCTCGGAATCCACCCCTGGAGAGTTCCAGTTCAAATTAAAAGCCTTGGAGTTTCAGCCCAGTCCGAAGGATGTACCCAAAGCTGCCAGTCTCTGTTGCAGGATCTTGTGGTTTGGGGGGAACGGCTACAGTGGTTTTGGGACAAAGGCTACAGGTTTTGGGCAGAGTTTAGGCACAGGAGGTGTAGGGCATCCTCAGACTGTTATAAGCTGCTGTTTCCTCGGGTCCGGTACCGCGATAGACCTCGGTTTAGCATTTACAGGGGCCGTACGAAACCGAGGTTGTAAAACCTCAAGCCGGAGCCCTTTGAAGCTCAAACCAGAGATCCCGACCAGCCCGTTGCACTCTAAACACTCAAATCGGCCTACCACGGACACACCACGAATCAGACACTCCGAGCAGCACATGGATACAAACTACCTTGTCGGTTAAACCTTTAGTCGACATTCGAGTGCCTTGCCGGGATGTGTTTTCTGTCTCCTTAGATCGCGAAGCTTCACGGCATGTGCGGTCAAACCATATAGACTTCACGTACGAACCCAACCCTCAAACTCCAAAACCCTGGATGCGTTACTCCCACCTCGCAGGCATATCCGCCCCCAATGCCAAAGCACGAATTGTAGGGCGTCGAAACCCGAAGCCCCTAAACCCTAAATTTCCTAAATGCACTCTGAAGCCTGAATTTTCAGGGGGACAGCTCTTCCATACCTGCTGAGGAGCATTGTGTGCCGAGCTGGCAGGTACAAGTACACTATTAACCCTGGGCAATTCTCGGACTTGCGGTTTAGGGTTTAGGGTCTAGGGGGCGCAGAATTTTACCCCCTTAAGCCATACTTTGTTATTCGTTCGTGCCCTTGCATTTGCAAGCATCGCATCCCCTGAACCTGTCCAAGGGTGGTTCCGTCCTTGGCAGTTCCTCCACCAGCGTCGGTGGAGGCCGAACTCATACACGGTCATAGTAGCCCCTCTTCTAGGAGAGGTTCTACAGCGGCCTCTTCTTCGATCCGGTTTGTCCCTACAAGGAGCTTCTACAAGAGGTTGTATCGAAATCAGGAGCGAGGATTTACGAATTACTGAGGTTCGATGAAGTCTCATATTGCTGCTTTGGGTTTGGGGCTAGTTTCAGGTTTGGTCGTTTAAATCTGGTCTTCAAAATCCCTAGGTGCCTCAAACTTGGATTTAGGGCATAGTTGTTCAGGCTAAGGCCAAGGATTGTGTAACTCGGTTCTTGGACCAATCTCCTGTTAGTGTTAAGGGCCAGGGGTTTGTATCTATTGTCTTGGACCAGAGTGTAGTTTCGAGGTTTGTATCTTGGCCCAGGGGCTTTGAGTCTTGGTCATGGGGGGGGGGGGCAGATCACGCTAGGCCGTTTACAGTCTCGGGCTTATGGGCTTGGCTTCCAAGGACTGTGGGTCTTTCAGGTTCTGGGTAAGAGCAAAGAGGCCTTGCGATCTCGCCGTCGGCAGAAAGCCCTATGTCAACCCACAAGCAGCCGTAAACCCTGGACCCGAAAAACACGAGATTCTCACCTCGACCTGAATGCCTCCGACTTTGAACCCGAAGACGTTAACTGCTAAGCCCCAAAACCTAGACCATGAACCTAGCCACCAGAAAGTCTTCAACCATGATGCTACAGGAACCTGGAGGCTACAGCAGGTCTTTTTACCCTCCCTTCTTGTTATTGTTATTGTCGTTGTTGCTACTATTGTAAATATCTGCTGCTGCTACTGCTCCTGCTCCTACTCCTACCCCTACTCCTACTCCTACTCCTACTCCTACTCCTACTCCTACTCCTACTCCTACTCCTACTCCTACTCCTATTCCTACTTCTACTCCTACTCCTACTCCTACTTCTACTCCTACTACTACTACTACTACTACTACTACTACTACTACTACTACTGCTCCTCCTCCTCCTACTACTACTACTACTACTACTACTACTACTACTACCACTACTGCTGCTACTACTCTACTACTACTGCTACTGCTACTGCTACTGCTACTGCTACTGCTACTGCTACTCCTACTGCTACTGCCACCGCTACTGCCACCGCTACTGCCACCGCTACTGCCACCGCTACTGCTACCGCTACTGCTACCGCTACCGCTATTGCTACTGCTACTCCTACTCCTACTACTACTACTACTACTACTACTACTACTACTCCTGCTGCTGCTACTGCTGCTACTGCTACTACTACTACTACTACTACTACTACTACTACTACTACTACTACTACTACTACTACTGCTACTGCTACTGCTACTGCTACTGCTAAGGCTACCGCTTCTGCTACTGCTACTCCTACTCCTACTCCTACTCCTACTCCTAATTCTACTCCCACCACCACCACCACCACCACCACCACCACCACCACCACCACCACCACCACCACCACCACCACCACCACCACCACCACCACCACCACCACCACCACCACCACCACTTGTACTCGTACTCGCACTCGTAAAGGTAGCCGATGCCCGCGACAAAGTCCACCATGACGGGTGCCAAGCTGATAAAAACAACTACACGAAATCCTTCTGGTGAAGCTAGCGCAGGCCCCGCCTACACCGGCGCCGGCGCCGGTGCCGGATGAGGTTGCCTCTAGCTTGCGCCAGCAGCTCAAGGAGCAAGATGAGGGTTCTAGCTTGAGTAGCCCAGCACAAAGTTTAAGGTCGATGGTTCCTGCAAGTCCCAAATCCACAAGCGAGGAGAAGGAAGACGTCGAGGCGGCCTACCGAGCAAAAATCGACGCTCTCAAAAGAGAGCTGCAGGACGGGCTGGGCTAAGCGGAAGCTTAAAGATTTTCAAACGCTCACCCACCCTGACTACTTCTTTGGCTTATCACTGGGTTCGTTTCAGGTGGAGAAGCACCATCACTCTTCGCATGACTCTAATGCCTCGCCTTGTGATTTTCAGTAGTGGCAGTAGTAGTAGCAGTAGTAGTAGTAGCAGTGGTAGTAGTATAGAAGTGGTAAGTTCTGGCAGCCGTTTTTAATCTTGTGAATGTCGCTGAGCCTGTAATTACTTGGGCAATGAACATATGCTGATTGCGATCCTGTACGGCCAAGCCCACCTTAGGGTGCAGACTGTGCCCTGTGAAGCCAGGTTTCTTGACGGGTGATAGAGCAGATGCTTGGGCTTGTCTAATGGAACCTTCTAAGTCGGGTGGTTTGGGGTTCAAAAGGGACCCGTAGCTGAGAGGTTTCAGAAGGAGGAAGGCCCGAATCGAACCTCAACTCTCGAAACCTTCAGCCGGCTGACACCCCAAACCTGCATTGAGCCTTGTAGGATCAAATGAAAAATGGCAGTGTAACAAGCCATGAAAACCTTCTAAACCCCATGAACCCCCGATCAACGTCATTTTAAGCTCCTGCCTAAAATGGGTACTATGGAGACTGTAGGAATTGCGAGGTTGGTTAACCTCCGACAAACACTGCAATGGAGACTAAAGATATACGGCCTTAGCAAGGAGCTCCAACGGCGGCATGGGCCACTCAGGGAGCTCCTGGGCGGTGCCGGGCGCTCAGAAGTAACGAAGGAGGCACAGCGCTTGGGGGCACTGTGAAACCTGGATCAAGGCATGATCGGATTTTGGGATTTGAGGGTCTAGGGTAAAGGTCTCCGTGTGTGTTTTCTCACAGGTTTTAGAGTTGGCGTTTAAGTAAGGCTTCGGGTTTACATGTTTCGGGGCTTGGATAAAGTTCCGAAGGGGTCTCTGGCTTGTAGAGGGTTCAGGGAGTTGAGCTATCTAAGACTACCCTACAACCTTAGATGTTACACGTTCATGTCTTGATCCTCCAGGATGCGAAGCTCAAGCCTTAAACCTCCACCTACACTCTCCATTGAAGTTCCTTTTTCTGGTTAGCACACTGTATGGCTAATTTGTAACCGACAGGATCAAACATGAAACTGGCTCACCACAAAGACCCGAACACGGAGACTATACCCTAAACCCGAAATCATCAACGCTTGCAAAAAGTCTCTGATGAACTCTAGACCCGAAGCTGGATACCATTTCATGTGCCTGTACCGTGGGTTGAACTTAGTCCATCATGCTTCTGCCGGAGACGAGGGCCCCCCCAAAAAAGTCTTGATGCAGGATCCTCTCAGACATCATTGCCTTGAGGGTTTATGGTTCAGTAAGCTCTGGGTTTAGGGGTGCTTTTGGGAATAGGGGCTAATAGGGGTGCAAAAGTCAAAGTGCACATCAAAATTCCGTACGTAGCTTTATGGTGCTCTGCTGTGAGACTGTCCTGGCCCTAAAAAATTGGAGTGTGGGCCTATAGGTAAACAGCTTTCAACCAGCTTAGGGTTTGGGTTTAGATTCGGCGCAGATACTCGAGGTCGCCAGCGAAGGTTTCGCGCCGCCTGTTCGACGGTGCACAGGCTCTGGTGCCCTGGCCTGTAGTGTTCAAATGCTGTGGTCATAAACCATGAGGCCACCAGTTTGATGAGAGCCGTGATGCGGCGCACGAACCCCACAACAACAATCAGATAAGATTGTGATTACGACGGCCATTTCAAGAGTAGTTATCGTGCCAGTACGAACAGTTGTCTGGTTACAATCCTTCATCTGTCTGGTAGTTTGGTTGCAGTGTCTGTCGTGCTACTCGGGTAGCCGTCTCGACAAAGTAACCCGCTCACTGTGGCTGTCGTCACTATTGCTGCTGCTCTTGCTGCTGCTGCTGCTGCTGCCTACTGCCAGCAAGAATGTCATAGCAAGTGGAACGTGTTTCTTCAAATCCCGTTGCTCTTTAGGTTGCAAAGATCTCAATGGTAGTATCCTGTTACCATCCATGCCACCGACGGCCGGCGGAGCGGCCTTGCTAAGCGCTAAAACCTAAAGCGACGAGATGGTCAGATGAACGTCCGCATACACCATACACTGTAATGTCTGAACGTATCCACGCCTGTATGCCTGTATGCACATAGCTCTAGAATGTGCCGCTGTTAACATCTAATTAGCTGTGAAACATGCTACAGCTGAGCTGAGGGCCACATGGCAGATTCCCTGTCTGGCGGCATCTTTCTGATGAAGCCACATATGCCACTCAACAATAGGTCCAAACTATGACTCTTCACCTTGAGGTGTTAAATCGAATGTAGATGCCTTTGATTACATCGGAGCAGAAACAGTAGAAACAGCGAGCACAAATGCAAATACTCTCACAACCTGCTTATGGACCCTCATCATAGGCAGCTTATGATAAACCCTCGTCATAAAGACACCTTATCATGGACCATCATTATGGACAGCTTATGATAGACCTTCGTTATGGGCAGCTTATCATAAAGCCTAAACCCTAACCTACCACCCCCCCGCTCCCCGCCCGAGATCAAGCCCCGTCAATGAACTTTATGTTGTAAGCCTCTTGGATTGAAGGTTCCCATAGCCCAGCCCTCCCACCCCTTGCCCCCGAAAAACTAAAGTCAGACATCCCCTTTTGGAACAAGCCTGAGGATCGCCAAACAGTCCGGTAGTCGTGGATCGCGCAGGCGTTCCGCTTTCGCTGGGCTTTCATGCGCTTCTTATCGTGCTTAGGGTGTTGTCGAATTTTGATAGGACTTGATCAGGTTTTTACAAGTTTTGACAGGTTTTGAATACGATTCTTATGTTTTTTAAAGTTGCTTGAATGCGTGTGGTTGTCCGTTGCAGCAGCAGTTTCCCAATAAGAAAGCAGTAGGTACCTAGCATATCTACACTCGTCCGTTGTGGCATAAGAAAGCAGTAGGCACCTAGCATATCTACACTCGTCCCTAGTGGCAGCTGCAGAGCCTTCATATATGAGGCCTTATAAGGCCCAACGTAGCTCTATACATTTCCGTGCAGAACTTACAGGAACTCCGGCCATTCTGAATCGTTTGAATTACGGACTTCCTGTTTAAGTCTTCGAGCACCGGCGCCCAGAGAGCCCAATACCCCTTAATTAAAGAATATGGCTCAGGCTTACATCATAATATTAAGCCCTAGATAATTTGAGCCATATTCCTTAATTAAGGAGTATTGGGCTCTCTGGGAAGGTGTGCAGCGTGTGCCAGAACCGCTGAGCTGTGCTGCACGCCTCGCTTCACCCTGGCCGGGACAAGGCGAGAAAGCGTGCTTAGTAAAGATAGGGGCGGTTTTCGGGTTTAGGGTGTAGAGGCCCAAAAGGACATAAACACAAGCGCTCTATGAGGATATACCTTCCTTACTACCTTGCTTAGGCCCTGATGGAGGTCGGCATGATTAGTAGCAGTGTCCCCTGGTAGTAGCTGTATATAGATGTTCCAATGTCCACCAAAGCAGTACGCAATTCATCCAGGTGCTAAAATGGCCGCGTGTTTTCATGATTTTCAGACGAGGGGTTCTTGATTTCTGGAGTTTCTGATTCTGGGCCGGAACCCCTGACAGACTAACACCTCTCGAAAGCTAGCGCTAGGCACTAATCCCTAACCATCCAGCCCTCCAGCCCGAAACCCTGCTCAAACTCTCACACCCTAACCCCGAACAACCCGTAAACCCTGCTGAAACTCTCACACCCTAACCTCAACCACACAACCCTAAACCCAAAACCCCGAAAAGCCTGAAACCCAGATTCGGCTTGTGAGGCTCGCTTCCCCAAGGATTCGGACCCATGATCTTTTGCAGTCGGTCTCAGGTTTTGTCGGCTTTGGGGCTCAGGGTTCTTATTGGACGGTTTAGGGATTAGGGTTTAGGACTTTAGGGTTTAGGGCTTGGGGCTTAGGTCTTTAGGGTTTATGTTGTAAGGTTTAGGGTTTAGGGCTTTCTTAAGTGTGCAGGCTTGCTTTTGATTTTCATAGCGGGGTTTTGGGTTTAGGGTTCGGGTGTTCGCACGGGCGTCGAGGCTTGGGTTCTGGGGTTGGGAGTTCGGTTTAGGGCTTAGGTCTTTCGGGCGCGCCAGGGTTTAGGGATGAGGCTTGGGGGTTTAAGGCTTTTCGGGGCTACCTTAAACTCGCCTTTCCTTGTGGCAAGTTGAAGGAAAGAGGTGACAACAAGAGGTTCTTACTTCCAAGAGGCCGAGCTTTCTGCGCCGCCCCCCCTCCACCAAGAAAGCAAGCATCTTTCAGCGACTCCATGAAACCTTAAGCCGTTGGTAAAACACGTCAGAACATGTCATGAAGCCATACTCAAACAAGTACCTATGCTACCTTCACAAAGCCATGTAGCACATTGCACACACTAAACCAAGTCAAACGAGCCCCCGCTAATGGGTCTCAAGTCGCCAGGCACAGCCACTGCCCCGGCGCTGAGTTCGATGCCTTCGAAACGGCCATCGCCAAGGTACAGATAGCTTTTTGTGCGGAAGAGGGGATTTCATCACCTTTTCTGGAACAAGGGATCTACAGGAACAAGGGGGTGTACAGGGTTTTTACATGAGATTTGGCGCTTTGGGTTTGGGGTTTTAGGGGGTCTTAATTGGCTTTCTGGTTTGGGTGTTCTTTGAGTTGCATCTTCTTCGAGGTGTCAGCCTGCCCTCAACGCGGAAGCCTTAAGAGTGCTCATGGTGTAGCCTGTGATGGAGAGGGCTTTCGAATGTCTTATCTGACAGCCATCTGAGTCATCCTTTTTCTGAAGCCCCCCAGCTAAATGAAAAGCTGACCTGGACCCTAGGCCCTAGACCCTGAACGCTGACCGGTAACCTTTACAGTCGTCCTCATAGTAAGACCTAGAGCCTTGTAATCCCAAGAACCGCTAAACCTCGCATGGCCCCAAGCGTATGATATATTGTAACCCTCGGAACCCACCCGTCTACGCGCCGCCAGATCTGGTATGATACCCGTGCGAGAGCCAACGGCTCATATCATCTCCCCGCGGTCGATGCACCTCGCGCTGCTTTCGGGTCAGTACGCGGGTCACCGGTGCTCAGAGTTTAGGGTTCGAGGTAGGGTGTTTGAGGTGTAGTAATAAGAACTTTTAGGGTTCTTTCTGCCGTGCAGGGGTTTCAGGGTCTCCATTACCTGAAGCAGGGTTGGCAGCAACAATTTCGAGGTTGCCGATTACGGAATGCAATGGTTGGTTAAGGTACCTAATTGCAGGGGCGTCTATTCACGATTCTTTTTGGACTGTGATTCTGTACTATAGGGGCCTTAATAATTCCCTATGCTACTTTGGGGCTCCTTATAAAAATCACAGTACCATGGGCCACAAAACCCTTTTCTAGTTATTCAGGGCCTTTTTCTTGACTCTGTCCCTACCAAGGTGCAAGGCGCCGTTGGAGTTGCTTCTTTATGACCGAACTCAGGCAAGCCGATTACATTGGAGAGCAGAATCAGCTAGGGCTTTATATATATATATATATATCTATATATATATATATCTATATATATATATATATATACAAATATATTTCATATATATATATATATATATATATATATATATATATATGTATCGAAGCATGCTGATATCTATGCTATGATATGCCCCAACACCATACTTCAATTATCAAGGCCCCTATATGGCCCTATATATTGGCCAGAGGGCTCAGGAGCTAAGGCTTCTGAGGATGCACAGCATACGAGAGTTTGTGTCGACTGCCCAAACTTTCAGGAACCTAAGTTGCGGAACCTAAACGCATTCCGAAGGATCCGTGTGAGCATGCGGCCATCAGTTGCTGACGTGGCGATCTGCAGGGAACGATGCGAGGGAGAAAGCCGGTCCAACAGAAGATGGTTAGCATGGAAACATCGAGCTGGGCAAGCTGCTGTTGCATATGCTCAAAGGCTGTTGGATGCGTGCTGTGATGCTGGCTGCCGACATGCAATGGTAGCACGCAGAGATCAACGCCACGCCCTGCAAAGCTGCGCCTCCTGTTCACCATGGAGCCGGAACCGCGTGTGGTGGATGCATTCACCAACCCTAGAACGCAGTCTTGCGTAGAGCGAATGAGCTCGAGAAAGACGTGGCCTTAAGCTGGACCTTCAACACGAAGATCCTGGATAGACGGAATCCAAGAAGGGACCCCTATCGTTGGTGCTGCGAGGGGATCCTGAGCAGAGACTCCAAGTAGCGGTTGGAGGGACTCTTGCAGGTTATATGTGATATTATATTAATAAGTCATATTCAAGATTGTGTATTCTATGGTTCATAGTCTATACCATACTTAATCAGTGCTGCAGTTCTGGGGTGAGAGTCTCTGGAAGTTAAGGTTCAAGGGCTGCAGGCTAGCATGTTTGGCTCGTCCCAGTGTAAAGGGACAATTCCAAGCCGGAAACCCTAAACCCTAAACCCCAAACCCTAAACCATAAACCCTAAACCCTGAACCCTAAACCCCAACCCAGTAAGCCAGAGATCAGAGATCCTATAGACCTTCGCAGTAAGACCGGAGATCCTGAATCTTCAATCCTGTAGCCCCACACGACCCATGATTGGAGCTGCATCCCCAAAAAGGGGAACCTTAAACTCCGCCAGAAGTCAACTACGCCCCTAAACCCCAAGCCCCATGCACCCCAAGCCCGCCCTAAACCCTGAACCCTGGACCTGAATCCTAAGCCCTGTACACCCTAGACCCTAAACCCTAAGTGAATCTGCCGAGGCAGCTGCCTAATGGCACCACGACATGGCCACACCATACGCCGAGGAGGATGCCTACGGCCATCTAGAGCCGAGGAGGCCTACTATTTTGGGGGTTTCCTTCTTATAAATATAGTAATAATAGTAATAATAGTAATAATAGTAATAATAGTAATAATAGTAATAATAGTAATTATAGTAATAATAGTAATAATAGTAATAGTAATAATAGTAATAATATAGTAGAATGGCCCCCGAAACCCCATTCAGAAAAAAAGGGGCCCCTTTGTTATGGCCAGCTAGAGCCGAGGAGGCTCCCTGCAAGGGTCTACAAGCCTACCGTACCCGAAAGCCCCCAAGCCCCATAAACCCCTCAACTCTAATCTTTAATACTGAGGCCCAACACCAAGCCCTAAAGCTAGATGCTCAACCCGACACTTCAAAAATCCCGAAACCCTCGCCCGTGCTTTGAATCGCCAAGAAACCCCTTCCACAAAGCTCGCTGCGAGACGGTGGGTATGCTCTCATCTCAGGTCCCACACCTTCAAGTTCCGTTTCTTATCGTTCTTGGGTTTAGGCATTGGGGTCTTAAGGTTGCACGGCTTAACAATTATGGGGTTTTAGTTTGGTCTTTGTCTACGTGTTTCTCCTGTCTGTACTCCACCAGAACGTGCTGGTGTTTGTGAACTCGGTCTTTTTACCCATTATTTCTTCGAGCTTGCTGTACTGCTGCTCTGTATGATCATTTCTACTAGTAAGCAACATTACTTACTGTAGGCATCGCGACCTGCGCTACGGTACTCACCATGTCATAAGGATTACCTATTCTTGCTCACTCGCTGTGGCTGTCTGCTTTTTGTTGCGTATGCTAGTTCGTAGTACTGCTTCCGCCGAGTCTTGTTGAGTGCTTTTCTTCTCGGCCTGCCGCAAGCCAGCATGAAGCCTGATAATATCAGGGCGTTAATTAGAACAATTACCTATACTATTTTGGGGGCTCCTTTATATCATTGTAATCTAATGCGCCCCGGAACCCTGTTTTATTTATTAAGGCCCGTATGGCGCTGCAAAGTTTCGCATCGCAGGCGGTCGCCCCAGCCGGGGCAAGGTGCACTGGCGCTGTACATAGCGACGTCTGCTGAGAAGACGCCCTGAAGCCGTGGAGGAGTACTGCTACAGCCCAATGACACCCATAAACTCCCAAGTCTAAGCGATCCGCCCCAAACGTAAAGATGGAAACCCGTTCCTTTAGCCGCAAACTGGCCTTGAAGGCTTTCTAAATCAGGGTCCATATTCAGCTCCCCTATATCGTGCGGCACCGTTATAACAAGGACAGACCCTGGTTTAGATAACTACCCATTCGGTTTATTTGAAACCGTAAGCTAGGGCTCAGACTAGTTTGCATCAGCCTGCAAAATCCATATGGGGGCTTGAGTAATTTTAGTATGACTCCACCGGCTTTCTCACCAACAGTATAGGATCATACACCCCAAAACCCCGTTTGAATTAGCAAGGTGCCCCTTTTACTAATGTCTTCTCTCATCTCTTCAAGTGAGGTTGTGCAGTCAACAGGGGTCCAAAAAGCAGCGTGGTTCGCTCAAGGACGATAAGTCAGAGAGCAGGGCATCCCGACAGTGTTGAATCAAGAAAAGATCCTGAAAGAACTGAGCCAGACTAAGCCCTAAACCTCAAACCGTAGATGCCTCTATACTCGAAAGCCCGAAACTAAACCCGAAGTTTCAAGCCCCAACTGCCTGTGAACTCCGAAACCGCCAGCCTCCACCCACGGTTTCGGGGCGTGGGAGTTAGCACGTGGCCACGCACACTCAGCGGAGCCGAATCCGTTGGACGGGCAGCGCTGGGTCCAAACGTGTGGGGTAGGAAAAAGCACGACTTAGGAGTTACAACGTAGGCTGTAGAATCTGCAGAAATGCCGTGACAGCAACAAGCACCGTAGCGTGGAATCCTGAATGATAGACCCTGCGCTTCATTGCAGCAAGGAGGAATTCGAGGGTTTAGGAGACATGTTCGACAATTGTCTGAGGTCACGACTTCACAGTGGGAAGGCCAAGAGATCTTTAGCAGACTTCTCTTACACCTCTACCCAAATTCAATCACTACGCCGTTTTTCTTACCCTTCAAGCCCAGTCCCAAACGCTTAGCGACTCGATAAATGTCCCTTCGAGTCAAAGGTTTATGGTCTTTTGCGGTTTGGGTTTGAGTTTGTAGGGCTTACCGTTTAACTCCGAACCTTAGCCGCAAGCCGAGAACCCACTTTCGACCAGCACTGCCCTCCGACGGTTCCGCCGCGCTGCGGACGAGACAGGAGCATGGAACTCTCTCGAATGCATGGTTGTTAGATTGTTGAGCATTGCTTTTTTGTTTCGTGTAGATGTGTAGAGGGCACATGATTCATGAACCCGCTGCCTTAACGCGCTTTGTAACTTGCATCGCAAACTGCCTGCCCTCAGAGAAGGGGTTTTCTTGACTGAGGGTTTACATGTGTGTCCTTGTGGCGAAAAGTTGTAATTAGGGCTTGTTGTGTTCAGGGTTCCAGATCTTAGGATAGCTCTCATTATGGTCTCATCATTATTCAGATCCTTGTTGGGGCCTAGGGGTTGAAGGTTTGTTTGTCTGCTATAGCCCATCCCTAGCCCCAAAGGCCTAATTTAAACCCTGAGCCCAATTATAAACCTCCAACTGTGACCTCTCATTCCATGCTCCGCTTGCCAATGTACCAATATCTATTGGGCGGGATTCTGAACCTGAAACCCTACAGACAGCGTCCCGGTCAATTTCACGCCAACTGATGTAGCCTACACTTTAATTTAATCCCGACACCCTAAACCCTACAGACCCGAAGCCCCTGAACCCTAAACCCTGAGCCCTATAGTATAAGCCCCCCTAAACCCTAGTTCCCTAAACCATAAACCCTAAAGCCTAAACCCTAATTCCCTAAACCTGAGCCCCTAAGCCCAGAGTTTGTTCACTCACTGCGATTCTCCACTAGTCCCTGCGGCCTTTAGCTGGGCAAAACCGGGCAGACACGAACCTAGGGTTTAGGGTTTGCAAATACTATAGGCTCCTTAGGACTTTTTTTTATGTTTGTTCATATAAAACTCAAGAGGATATCACAAGTATTATTTTTTTATTATGGTTGTAAGGGAGGTATAAATAGGGTTTAGGGGAACCTTCATCCTCTTTTACTATAGTTCCTAAACCCTCAACCTTCAGCAATCCCGAAAACCCGAAGCAACCAGAACCTAATCCGATAAATCCCAAGGCCGTATGCTTGACTAGAGCTTGCCGGGTTCCTTTAAAGGGTTACTATAAGCGATCTATACGGGTACTATAATCATGTACGTTCTCATTGCTGCTCCTCATCTTGGTGAAACGGTGTATATCAACCAGACAAGGATCATAATGGAGAGCAGAGCAGTGCCCGGGAATGATAGAGAAACCCAGAGCCCGAAACCCGAAAGTCAGTGACCGGGAAGCTGTTCCTAGCCTCCCCCTCCCCATACCTGCAAACCCTAACGAAGCTGCCTCCACCGTTGATTTCTCCGCCCGGAGGGTGAAACCAGCCCGTGCCGAGCAGCGCTAGAAGGAAAAAGGCAACGCCAGTTAGGGTTTAGGATTTAGGGTTTAAGGGTTGTTCTCTAAAAGGCCCAAACTCTGACGTCCCTAACACCCCCTGCTTTAGGGTCGGCACATACGGCCAGAGTTTAGGTTCGGCGGAACCCTAGCTATAGTCTCCATAGTACCTCTTTGCTGGGGTTGCACTTTTTTTTGTACGGTAACCGTTGCTCACCAGCAAACAAGGAGCCACAATGGTAAGCCCCAACCCTAAATCGGGCTTGAGACCGCCTCGAAGAATCTTCATTCAATGAGAGGGGATGATGCGTGTTCTTGGACCATGAAGTTCTTCAGAGCCCTTAGCCCTAAACCCTAAACCCCTGCAAAGACATGCTGGGGGTACTCGCCCCCTAAAGCCTGCATCCCAAGCTCCGAGCCCACGCCCGGAGACATAAGCCGTGAAGTCCAGGAGCCCCCGCAAGCATCAACAAACTCATAAACCCACAGGGGCCTTAGTATAATTACCTATACTCTTTTGGGGGGTTCCTTATTGTAATCATAGTATGATGGGCCCCGAAACCCTATTCAACTATTCTACTTCTGCAGCATCCGAAATTCTTGTGACTTGTTATGGCTTGTAGCATCTCGAACACCCTTGTTCCCCCCAGCCGTAACCAAGCTCTGCAGAGCCACCACTCAGGCTGGGCCCCGGAGAACTGCGAGCACCACGGGCATCAGAGTTACCGCCGCAGATCCTTCGTCCAGGTCGAGGTGCTCCGCTGCTGTCTTGTAAATTGAGGTTTTACTACAGGTTCTTCTTTGTAAGGGTTGTTCATGAGTTTGCTTAGCACGAAAAGGAATAAGCTTTTTTCTGGGGTTACTTAGTTACTTATTCAAGGTCCTCAACGGGGAGCCGTAAACCCTGAAAACCCTAAGCCCTACAGCCCCAAATGCTGAATCAAAACTCTTGACCACGGAGGTCACTGGAGTTCGCTCTCGGCATACGGCTTTCGGAGGTTCAGGATGGCGATAGCCGCTCTCAAAACTTTGAGAGCTGTGGTCTAACAGCAGAATGCGAGCCCAAGTTCAAGCCGCACAATGCTGAACCACTCCACAGCTTTAGGGCGCCGGCCAACTTGGAGCCTACCACCTGAAACTTTGGCGATACAGCTTCGGGAATACAAGCGGAATCTACTCGGTAGCTGAAACATTAAACGTGAGGCGCTGGTCTGAGTTGAAGAATCTCGAAGATCCTCCATGTAAAGTTAATCTGATTATGTAGATGGAACGCTACTGCCAATGACTTTGGCTCAAGCATGAAAAAGGCATCACTGAGCGTTGCCTTTGCGTTCGATTGAGGGTAGGGTTCCTCTGTTGTGGTTTCCCTTCCCTTCCTTTCCTTTCTTACCCTAACATAGCGTTGTCTCTGTTTGGGGTCAGAATAACTGGTTATCAGCCGTAGTGCTCTTTCGGGGTCCCTTTGGTGAACTTTAGGATCTTCATTGTCCTTGTTCATGTCCGATATACCTCCTCCTGTCGAGGAACAAGGTCCTCAGGAGGAAGCCCCGGCGCCACGCCACGGGATAAGGGCCGGCCGAGCTGCACAACGCAAAAGAAAGGCGTACATTCGCTTTCGCCTTGAGACACACCCAGACTTGAGTGAAGACGCCGTGCTGCTCAGGCATTCCGACGGTTCGGATCGTCCTTTGTATTCACTTCCGGGTTGGAGTCCGGAGGAATTGGAGAAGGACGACTTGCCTCGTCCAGTTGATCCTTCTTCAGTGGGGTCAGAATAACTGTCTGAGCCTAAACCTCAGGACCCTTCAAGCTCCAGATCATGAGCCTTAAACCTCTTTCAAGACACGACCTGCGGCATAATGTACAGGCCTCAAAAACTACCAATGCCATTTTGGGAGTCCCTTATTATCATTCTAGTATAATGGGCCGCGGAACCGGTTCTCATTATTAAGGCCCCTCTATTAGCAGCAACGCAAGCTCAATCCCTAGATCCTCATCTACAAACACCCTAATGTAGGCGCCTAAATAAGTACTATTTCGGGGGCTCCTTATTTTAATATAATGGGCCTCAAAACCCTGTGTTATTATGTCCCCTACAGTACACCTCGACCCCAAAACTGTTCACCCCCGGTCACTATACTTTAATAAACTCAGAACCCCGCCCCTATACGAAAAGAATCCCTTAACAAAGACCTCGCCTCTGCAGAAATATGGCGGCCAGCCTTGTGAGCCTAACTCCTTGATGCGCCTTGGAAAGGATTTCGAGGGCTTAAGGCTGAAAGGCCTGGGATTGAGAGGGTTTAGGGCTTAGGGATACAAGTTTAGGGTTTAGGGTTTAAGTTTAGGGTTTCTGGGGCCTGGGAATTTACAGTTTGGGGCATAGGATTTCGAGGGTTTCGGGCTTACAGAGCCTGGCATTTTTCAGTTTAGGGCTTTGGTCTTCTTATGGTTTAGGGTTTATAGGGCCCTGGGATTTGGAGTTAGTGGATTCGGGTTTATAGGGCCCGGGATTTTCCAGCCAGTTTAAGATTTTGATTTTATTGCTGACTTGGGCTCTTAAGTTTTACGTTACGAGTATCAAGACCTTAACATTAATGACCTATACTATTTTGGGGAGTTGCTTAATTTAGCCTTTTATACTTATCGTGTAAGGGGCCTAAAACCTTGTTCCAGTTATTAAGGCTCGATATTAGGGAGTTGGTAACAGTCTTCGCTGCGGGTCCCTAAAACCGCAGCAAGGCAAGCTGGCTTCAGGCTTAGATATACCCAAATCTACCAAAACCTACTTGTTGTGTAGGGTCCCAATAAATTCCGTATTAGGGTTTACTGTAGACTAAGACTTACGAAAAAGTAGGGTCTGGCAGGTTCATTTAGGTCTGTGGTTGCGAGTGAGGCAAGGGTTTTCTTGTTATAGAATCCCGGTACATCCACAGAACACTGCGGCCAACGCTTTAGCATGACGCAAGTCCTGACAACGGGAGTGTCAGACCCTGAACCCTGAACCCTTTATAAACCTAAATGCGGAGTCCAAACTCCCAAAACAAGTAAGTTCTCATGTCTAGGCCAAAATCAAAATCTCCTATCAAGATCCATGCTCTCTTTCAGGTATTCAGGTAGGAGGACCATTCACTGGGGAAAACAGGGTCCTTCAGCTCTGTCAGTTGTCTTATGGCGTGATAAATATGCCGAGGCAAGTGCAGACTTGTGGGCGCGCATCTCACGAGGCACGTTCGTGAAGTTCTTCCTTCAGGTACAAGTTCCCTGCTTGAGTTTAGGGTTCAGAGCTTTGGGTGTGGATGGTGTCGTTGGACGCGGGTTTGTCTGACTTGATTTCTTTGTCGGGTGATGGTGGGTTATTTACCCATAGGCCCCATAGTAGTTCCTTTTGGGGATTACCTTACAGGACTCTACATATGAACCCCAGAAAGGCAACTACTATGGGGCCTATAGGTAGTTGTTAAGAGTTGTCATGTCTGGAGCCGTAGGGCTCATGGTTGCAATGCCGTAGTACTCCCCCAATACCATCACTGGGTTTAGGGTTTAGGGTTTATTTATAATAGAGGAAGACTCTCTCGAATCATTACAGCCAGCTGCAGGGACCCACCCAGGTGCCAAAAGAGCAGGGTCATGCTGAGTCATGCAGTCATGCAGGATCCTTATTCTAAGAAGCTCGGTCGCGTGATATGCTCAGGGCTTCAACGGCCAGTATCCCCGAAACAAAGCCCTATGCAACTCGCGAAATCCAAAGAATCGTCCGTAGACATGGAGCCATCAACATAGGGGCCTTAATAGTTAGAATAGGGTCTTGGGTTATAGTTACATCTTTTGTAAGGAACCCCCAAAGAAGTATTGGTAATTATGTAGGCCCTATATAAAACATGGAGCCATTGTAGACCTCGGTCCCCTAGCAGTGGCAGGCCGTTGATTGCGTCTTCGGTGCCTGGAACGCCTGGCCTTGGCCCAAGTCAGTCGCAGTTTGTGGCTCTATAAGGATAAAAAGGGTTCCCTTTAGGGGTCTCTTTCCGGATTTAGGGTTTGGGAGTTTTACGGTTCAGGGTTGAGGGCATACAGGGCCATAATTAAGGGGTGTAATACGGGTCACTGTCAGGGTGGTTACAGGGGTTACGATGCGGCTAACTAGACCGGTTACGAGCTGCTGGCTGGTCCCTCCTGCTCCTTCAACTCCCCAATTCCCCCCCTGAACTCTCAGCTCCCTCTTACCCGTCTTAGCCTTCAAAAAGTGTGATGATAGGGACCCTCCCCTTGAACTACGGTCCCTCATGGATCCTGTATACTAAGCCTACGCTGGTTTACTAGGTTCTGATGAGGTTTCCACAGGGTTGCTTTTTGGAGGCCTATGGGGGTCTTGAGGGTTCGGAGCCTACGTAGCTCGCAGCAAGCTGTTTTGCAGCTACAGTGTTTTTCCGCTGCACAGGAACTCAATCTATTTTGCAGGTACAAGCCTATTAGACGCAGTGTAGTTTCTGCCAGTCTGCAGCCCGTGCTGCATGCAGTGTACAGATACTCTGATGCCTACAGATCGCAGCATCAGTGGTGGTTATTCAAGCCAGGGACCGGGTGATCATCCAAGGGTTCCTGTAGGCAGAAGCCGGAAAGCTGGTGCAATCGATCGATGGCCTCCATGAGTTCCTGGTCCCGCAAGCACTGGCATGGCGCCAGGTGATCCCTTGTGAGCAGGTAGGAGTACGCTCGTAAAACCGAGAGGGACTCGGTTGCAGCTCGGCCCACGTACGCGACTTGCTGAAGAACATCTGCTCCATCGGTCACTCGCAAAGCGAAGTGCGAGGCATCTGCCCCTAAGTCCCGCATGGTTGAGATGCGGACGGGATCCCTGGGTTCAACCGTGGTGAAAACCTGAAAGCCTCTCATCAGCGGGGATGAAGGTTTGGAGCTGTAGGTTGAGGGACTAGTGTACGATTTTTGGTGTAAGATTCCGGGTTCTGAACGGACAGAGCCAAAAATTCCTGAATAGAAGAGGATGGTGCTTGCGCCGTTCCCGTTGCTTCATTGGTTCCTTCAAGGGGTCCTTTTATGCCTCAACCTACCGGTGTTCCTGGCAGTTTGTCTTTCGGTTAACCAGCTTTAGCATATTTTGGGGTCCCAGGCATAGCTAGAATCCCTGAGCCCGAAACCGCAACCCACAGAGCCCTGACAGGAATCCTTGAAGGAAGCCTTTCCGGCCTAAACCCTAAACACTAAACCCCTAGACCCCCCAAACCCTACATCCTAATTAAGCCCTAAACCCTAAACCCCTAAACCCTGAACACAAGGTTCCTTGATGTGGTCGTTTCGGGTTCCTGCCCACCGAAGGTCGGAGTGCGAGAATGGCCAGACCATGCGAAGCCGTGCGGTCCTCAGCCGACATCCCTACTATAGGGGCCTTCATAATTTCCCAGGCGATCGTGGGGGTTTCTTAGTCCCAAAACCCTATTCTAATCATCAAGGCCCCTATAGGCCCCATAGTAGTTCCTTCTTGAGGTTCATATGTGGAGTTCTACAAGGTAATCCCCAAAAGGAGCCATACATCCTAGCAAAGACGTCCTTGAGTCGATAGAGCCCTACCATTACTATGCCCTAAACCCTAAACCCTACCATTACAGTCCCCGTCGTACTTCTTGTTTTAGGGCTAGCCCAACTTAAGCCTTTAAACCCCTAAACCCCTAAGCCTCCAAACCCTAAACCCTAAGCCCCTAAAACATCTTGCATAAACCCTAAACCCTAAACCCTGAACCCTAAGCTCTTCCAGGTGAAATCGATTCCCCAGCAGAGAGTCGTGGCTCCCTTTGCCAGGGGCCGCTGAAGGCGTCCTCTCCTGCTCCTTCTGTGGATGATACAGGGTCTTCACCCATAGGCCCCATAGTAGGTCTTTTTTTGGGGATTACCTTATAGGATGGAACTTTATACTATGGGGCCTATAGGTAGCAGACAGAATAAGGCTGTGGGATGCATTATGCCATGGTAATGACATGGAGATCTTGTTTGGAATGTTTTTGAGATATATTCTATTGCAGTGGCAGTAGTTAGGGTAGCTTGTTAAGATATATTGAAGCATAACTACTCAAGCGCTATAGCGGAAAATAGCTACTCATAGGTATTCAGACTTGTCGTATAGTCATCGAAGAACTCTGGGGTTTTTGGGTGGAAGGATATTTCGAGTTGTCATTATCCATCGTTCGGACTAAGCTAAGGTTTCCAGGGTCTGGCTTGGGGCTTACTATTTGGCCCGCCGCAGGAATCACGAGCATGCTTGTTTTGCCATAACTTGCTCAAGGGATGATTGAACAGGTTCCTTTAGCTCTGAGTCCAAAGGGTTTTCAGTGTAGAGCTACATGCACGTTTTTTCTGTCGCTCAATGTACAGAGATCAGAATGTCGGGGAAAAGACCCAACAAGCACAAGGATACATCCACTTTGGGTTTCGCGTCAGGGCTTTCAGTCTCTCTGGTACCCTGACTGTCCAGGTAGGTACAGTATGCTGGTTAGTAGGGTAAGGAACAAACAACCTGCAGCCCTCTTGGGTCACAAATAATCCCGAAGGTTGCTGCTTGGTATTCCTAGGAGACTGGACAAGTAAGTATGACGTAATCTGTTATGTACCTCAACCTCAACCTGTCTGGGTTAAGATTCCAAGGGTCTGGGCCGGAAAAGATCAGACAGCCGAAAAGAAGCCCACGGCATCCCATGCCTAATGTTGCACCCGAAGCCCCAGACTGAACTGTTAAACCCTAGACCCTACAAGCCCTAAGCCCTATACGCTTTAAGCTCCTACCTAGAGTCTCCATTGTAGTTCCTTGTTTTGGTTAACCAGTTTTATGGTTAGGATCCTATAATAGAGATTTTGGTCAACCAAAAAAGGAACTACAATGGAGACTGCAGGTAAACCCTAAACACCTATCCCTCGGGCCCTCGTCTCGCGCCTTTTCTGTGAGTTAAAACCTGCGTCCCTCGTCGGTGCTTTCAGCTTGCACGGTCAGTGGTCATTCGATGTACTGGCTCGGTTGGGCGACTTTAGCGGACCAAGGTTTATGGCTTAAGTGTTTAGGGTTTTAAGGTTTAGAATTTTTCATGTTTTCCACTCTTGGGGCTACTATACGGGCTTATGTTAGAGCCATACACCCCAAACCGTCGAACCCTCAAGCTGACGCAGGAAGTGAAGACCTGCGCCCTCGGGGCCGAAGCGAATCGGCACGTGCAGAAGCGCGGGACCATGATCTTGGGTTTAGGGGTTTAGGGGTTTAGGGTTTAGGGTTTAGGGCAACCCGAAACCGTGCCGGTCTGATCAGGCTTTTAGACTTTGGGTGCATAGCTTGGAACCGCAACACCGTCAAAGCCCTGAACGCTAGCTCCTTTTGTGTAGACTTTCTTTCCTTGCTTCATAGACACAAATCATATAGCCTGCCATGTAAAGATGGACGTGCACTACGCCCTAACCCGAAACCCTTTAAATAGCAGAAAGCCAAAAGCCTCATGTGAAATGAACCGAGAGGTTCGGTGCTTGCGGGTACGACTTTGAGCGCTTTGGGCCTGAGGGCCTCAGGATGTCTGAGGTTCTAGGATGTGGCACGTAATGGGTTCACCTGACGGAGACTGTAGTGCTTTGCAGGAAGTGTGATTTGATCTCCGACCGGTGTATATGAAGTGCTGCTAGCCTCCCCCAGTTGGCGTAAGGCGGCTTGCCCGAGAGATACCCACTGCCAAGAGTTCAACAAGATATGAAGCAGCGAAGCCACTTGAAAGCATGAGCTTATTCGTGCAAGAGCTCAGAGTTTGGGACCGGCTCTGTCAGGGCTTTTCGCAGGGACCGCTGTCGGTGACAATGAGATTCGAGCTGCGAGAACGGCAGCCATGGTTTCGGCTATCCCCCATGATCTCGACAGCGACCGCAGGGGAGCACTCTGGTGCATCGAGCTATTGCGTTTGGGAGTCGAAGGTCTTGCGCCGATCGCCGCGCTTCCGAACCCGGTACTAGGCAGCTGGACCAGTATCGTTTTCTACCCTAGTGACAATGTCGAGGAAGTCCTTGAGGCATGTCAGCATCATATTGCTTTCAAGTGGACTGGCGATTTGAGTTCACAAGAGTCAAGGACAGAGCTGTGGACTGTTTCGCAGCTTATGTTCGGACCGGATGAGCAGGTGATGCACAACACACTTCCTAAACGCCAGCACCCTAACGGTTTCCCAGAGTAGCAACGGTCCCCAAGAGGCACGGAGGAGATGGATCTTGGTTCCACGTTGCTCTTCTGATTCGTGTTGATGTTTGTTCCTTGTGGATTCTTGATGTTGCCATGACTCACTCCGCGACAGTCTTGTGAATTCGTGACGAAAGACCTCGGGTTAGTCGGGCTTGCGTGCCTTTGGTGCCCACAAAGATAGAGGATCGCCAAGACAACGCACAAGCAACTTACACGAAGCGACAGCAGTTATGGCGCAGAAAGCTAAACACCTGCACCCAAGTCGACATACTTCATTCCAGGATTGTGCCTGCTCTACTTATATCTTAGACCCTTGCAAGCACTTCTAAACCATCGATGCCTGGTATCACAAATGTTTCAGGCGATGTATGAGAGTACAGGCCTCATAGTAATCACACATAAGCAGCCGTCGGGTGTGGGTTCTTGCAGGCAGGCCGAAACTTCCCTCCCAAACCCTGCTGCAACAACAGGTTTCTCAATTATGCAAAGTTCTGGCACCGCCTGGCAATCTGCTACCCCATGTGGTTTTCTTCACTACACCATGTAGTTCTCTCGCCGGGATACTGGAACCGCACAAAGTTCGCGAAGCCAGCTGGTAGAGGACAACCCCTACTGGTCAGAGCAGGTAGCAAACTGGGTATTACCAGATTTCCAGCTGTCTCCATGATAGGGGCATATATTCTAGGCCCCTGCCCCTGATCGCTACTAGAACCCCGTAACGGAACCTTAAGCCTTGAAACTTCCATCAACAAGGCCCTGCGAGCTGAGCAACTGGTCGCAGTGGTCTGCCTGCGCCGATGTCCTTGGGTCCGTGCAGTTCCGCTTCCGCAAGGCTGGCGCGACTGACTCTAAGATGGGGATCGTAGTGTAACAGTATCCCCCTCGTCGTCCTCACATGGTTCCGCCGCAACTTTATTATAAATTATGACAAAGGCCATATGCCACTGCTCAGGCTTCTTGTTTATGGCTCAAGGGTTTACATAGGATCTGGTTTAGGGTCTACAGTTTGGGTATAGGGTTGGGGGTCTCAGAATTTTCTGGTTAATCTTCAGGGCGAAAGTGCGGACTGATCGGGTATCAGCAGTGTCACAGAGAGGAGTCGTGGACCTTATCGGCCCGAGTCCCTGAGGAAAGCCATGATAAGTAGGTATTCTAACCCCAGGAAGGCTAAACTCGCCATGCAAGTGCAGCCTTCGAAGCACGAGTTGGGTGTTTGCAAGCGTGATGGCTACATCTACAAGTTGGCAGTTTGGGTGCTAGCGTTTAGCGTTTCGGGCTTTCAGGGTATATAGCGTTCTACTAAACACAGATGCATGTAAGTCGAAACGGAGCTAACGGTGGATCTGGATTGTCAAAAGTTTGAACGACCGATTCAACTGAACGTGGTTCCGAAAACGGTTCTGAAAATGCAATGAAGCATTTGATAGAGCAAAGTTGTAAGCTCCGGCAGTGCACTGTAAGGACCTTACAATTAATAAATAGAACAGTGGTTTTGAAGGTTCCTTATTATGAATCTAAGTAGATCTAAGTAGTGTGATGTGACCCAATCTAATTATTAAGGCCCCTAGTTGTTGAGTCTCCGACCGAAAAGTTGGAATGCGGGACCCAAAATTTTAAGCAGGGTGAGCTGAGCGCCCTAGGGGTTACGGGTTTTTAGGCCCATGCACTCTAGCCCGACTCTATGTCAGTTGTACGAAACCCTGGATGAGACCCAAACTAAACCCGAAATCCTTAAATTCCTGATCCCGAAACCCTGCATCCTGAAATTCCTGATCCCTAAACCCTACATCCTTAAATCCAACCCATGAACCCCTCAACCCCAAATCCTTAAACCTCGTTGCCTTTTTCTATGGAGGTGGCCGAATCAGCTGGACCCGAGGGTGAGGGCTGCGGCGGCCCGGGCCCAAAGCTCTGGCTCCGATCTTTGCAATTTTGTGTTCAGAGGAGAAGGGTGAAGGGTTTACCCCAAGGCCGCTAAATAGGACGTCTACATGTTTAAAGGTTTGGGGTTTAGTATTTAGGCTTCGTTACAGAGGTCTTGTAGATGTAGGGTTGGAGGTCCGGTTGTGGCTATTGTGGGTTCATCAGACTAGGGTTACCCAAGGCATGACGGTTCAATGATCTAGAAGCCAGCATGTAAGTATCTGGGTGTAGGATGATCAGTAAGTGGTTAAGCGAGGGTTGTATATGATGTTCATTTATGCAGACCGTGCGGTTAGGGTTTGGGGTTCAAGGCATTGGGTTCCGACTTCAAGGCCTTGGTTTAGAATTTAGGAGGCGGAAGAATCGTGCAGCCTTCTCACATCATGCGTCTTGACGCAATATGGGAGTTTCCGAAAATTAGGGGTACCTTATTTTGGAGTCCTTACAATAAGCATCCCACTATTTAGGGTACTATATTTGGGTCCCCTATTTTCGGAAACTCCCATATCATTAAGCCCCAATAAATCGTCCAAGGCCCTGCTCTGCCATTGAGGGGCCCGTTACTAAACTCATGAAGCCTCGAATGACTCGGAGCCCTTACAGTAGAAGCCCAAAAGTTGGAACCCCAGTAGCCTCGATCCTTAAGAGTAACGTATGGGGAATCTCAGCACTATTTGGCCTTAATCCGGTTTCCAACTTTTTGGGGTTTACGGGCCCTTGCCATGATGCTGCTAGAGACTATGGGGGCCTAAATAATTAGACATAGGGCTCCTTTTCAACGGGTCTATACCGGGTACGATACTATAGGGGCCTTAATAATTACCTCTTTTGGGGGCTCCATATTATGATTACAGTATAATGGGACCCCCCAAACCCTCGCCTAATCATTAAGGTCCCTATATTATCTGAGCTTCAGGCGCGGTGCGGGAGGTCCGAGCATGCAATGCAGCCGCCTCAGGCTTTCCAGGACGAGGATTATCCTTTGGGGTTCCTGCCCGAAGGGTCCAAAGTACCTGCAAAGGAGAATGTAGGGTTTCTATATTAGGAATTATTATTATGATTTGGGGAAGTATCCCCCATAACAGTACCTAGGACCCCTAAAGCTGGAAAAGGAGAGATGCTCGAAGGGGTTATAAGGGCTCTACGGGGGCATGATGATTCCTAGCCACAAAACCTCACACACTTTCACTCCGAATCAAGAGGGTTCAATTTAGATCCTGCTGAAGACCCCGAGTTCTCGAATCGACTGAGGCGTAGTCAGAGTAAGACTTATCCCGGATGCCCGACTTAAGCCGGAAGCTCTGAAACCCCATCTCTGAAGCTACAGCCCTTTTAAGGTATGTTCCTTAGTTCCTTAGTTCCTTAATTAAAGTATAGTAGGATCCCTCATATGATTTAAGGTATAATCCCTAATTGAAAATGCTCGAAAACTCTCAAGGCTGGGCCTGAAACCCTCAGCTCCGACAAGACTCTGGACCTCTAGAACCCTGAATCCTCAAGCTTACGAAAATGGGCTGCAAGGTATGTCGTATTACACGGAGCCCCCCCCCACTTTGTATACTTCCGTTGCAGAACCCCCCTGAAAGCGCGAGATATATGATTGTTATAGAGCGCTAGAAGGAGTGTGTTTGGGGTTTTGCGGTACCCCAAGTACTGTGGGACTGTGGGGGCCCTAAGCAGTTAGCAATATTGATCTCTAGGGTTGCCCAGTGTCAAGAGACTAGAGTATACCTCAAAACCCTGCGCGTTCAAATGACTAGACCCCTCCACTACACCCCTCAGTAACCGTTAGAGGAAGCCCTTCACGGAACCAACCCCTTTAAGCTTGAGGCCAACAAGAGACCATTTCAGGTCTCAGCCACGTCGATACCGCTTGTAGTCGCCGCGATTGGATGCCACATGAACGCATGGTTTGCTTGGGGAAAACGGTACGAAGGCAACCTTGCAGGCATTGCGAAACTACAAGCAAGATCTACGGGTTCTTGGCTCAGTCCCGGCTGACGAAGCAACTCCGCTTTCTTCCTTCAGCGGATGGCAACGCTGACACCCTTTTCGCCATTGAGTATTGCATGGTGTCTATTGGGAGCTTGCGGGCAAGAGCCAGGCTGTTGAGAGAGTTTCGGCATGCGGAGTACAAGGCAGTAGTCGACCCAGTGGACCAAGCGATAGGAAGGATGCAGGAGGGACACACCCCCTTATAGGAAAGCCTGATGGTAACTCCCCCCCCCCTTCCCCCACATTAGGGTTTAGGAGGCCAAGCTCGACGCCCGGCAAAGCAAAGCCTCCCCTCCAAGTCGTGCGGACCGAAGGCCAAGTCTGAGGGTTTAGGGTTCTTAGGGTTCTTAGGGTTCTTAGGGTTCTTAGGGTTCTTAGGGTTCTTAGGGTTCTTAGGGTTCTTAGGGTTCTCAGGGTTCTTAGGGTTCTTAGGGTTCTTAGGATTCTTAGGGTTCTTAGGGTTCTGGGTTTAAGGCCAAGTCTGACTTGAGGGTCCAGGGTTGAGCTAAGCCTAACCCGAAACCTTGAAGACTTCTCCGTTGTGCGAGGAAGCCAAACGTCCATCGTAGTCGTAAACATCTAGAGCCTTTGCCGAGCGCCATTAACTACAACCTCTTTCCCCATATGCGACCCTCACATTATATGGCCCTGATAAACGTTTTGATTTTCTGATATGGGAGTTTCCCCAAATTAGCCGTACCTTATTTTGGGGTCCTTATAATAAGGATCCTATTATTTAGGGCAATATATTAGGGTCCCCGATTTTCGGAAACTGCCATGTGGAGGCTTTGCCTGACCAAGGATCCTGTGGACTGCGTGGTGTCACCTTGGACAGCATGGGACGACTGCGACAGGACCACTTGTGTATGTAAGCGCGTGTAAGTATGTCTGTATGCATGCACGCATGGATGGATGTATGAGAGTGAGAGAGAGAGAGAGAGAGAGAGAGAGAGAGACAGACAGAGAGAGACAGGGAGACGGAGAGGGAGAGGCCTTCACGAATGCTTCACGGAATCGAGTTGCAAAGCCCCCAAGTAAAGCCGAAATGCCTTGAAACCCCGAAACCGCACAAACCGAAGATCCCGCACCCTTAGCAACCCTGTATTTTGCTTTCGTTGGCAAGGTTCGATTCTTCCAACCTTCCTGGCTTGGGAACTTTTGGCTTTTCCATTGACCTGCAGCCCTGACTGTAAGGATCCAGCGTACCTAACAAGCAGGTTTCAGTCGAACAGGATACAGCAATTATAGTCTCAAAGTGCAAGTCGGGCCTAGTAGTATTGCAGGGGAGTATATGCAGATTAGCTGCCTGGACCCGTGTAGGCAGAGATATCTCTGCACACATCGCAGGGAGTGCGGCTATGGCCAGCAGCAGCGGCACCGACAGGTGCGATGGATGGTGTCCAGTGCAGTGGGACGAACTAGCAACTAGGACTTTTTTGGGGGGCTCCTTATTATAAATATAGTGTAATGGGCCCCAAAACCCTATTCTACCTATTAAGGCCCCTATATGGTATAAACCCCAAGTTGATGGTAAACTGTGCTAAGCGCCAAGCACAGGTTCAACCCAACGCGCCAAAGCCCCGGCAACCACCCCGAATCCTACACTAACCCTAAACAACAACGGGGCTCTAGTGCCTTACAAACCCTTAAACTGCCTGAATAGTTACAGCTGCAAATGGTATACCCCCAAATTTATTTTCTATTTCTGAAGGCCCCTACGTCACTTGGGTTTCTGGTCTAAGGGCCCCAAGGACCTATGGCTTGAGCTCTCAATTTTGTTTTCGAGCTCCGGGTAGCAGGAAGGACTTGCAGAGTCATTCCGGGTTTGGGGTTTAAGGCTTTGGGTTTAGGGTTTAGGATCATTTCCCTTGATATGGGGTTTAGGATTTGGTAATTTAGGTTTCGGCTCATTCTGCTTTGTATGCCGTTTAGAGTTCAGGGTCGTTCCCTGAT